CTTGAAGGAACAGTTTGCAAAGGACATGTGCAGAATCTCACCTGTGTAAGAATGGGCAGGCTCAGGCCTGGGCTCAAACCTGGGAATTGGAACTCCTCCTGTTCTCCTGCCTCACTCCCATCACTTGTGTGTTCCCACCTGGCACTTAGCCTCTGCAGGGAGGGGAAAGTCCTCATGCATTGTCAGGGTGTGAAGAAATCTGCAGGTATATTCATGAAGCAGCTTGATTGTGGCTGACTTTTTTTTTTTTTTTTAAACTTGCTGTAAGAACAAATGCAATGTCAAAAAAAAATCATCCCAAAAAAACCCAAAACCCAAGAACAAGCCCAAAAAATCCCAACCCCTAAAACAAACCTCCAAACATTGCCTGCCTCCCCCCCCCTTCCCCCAAGTCATTAAAAAATGGAAATGCCTGGGCTGGGTGCCCACCCTGACAGTTTAATCAATCTACTTTGGATTTCTGGTTTGAATAATTTCCTGGGCAAGGCAAAAGATGTGGGGCAGGTAGGAAGAGGCTTTCTTTCCCAGTAGCACCAGCTGGATCAGGGTGTAATGCTGAGCATATGATGGAGCAGGGTGCAGCTGTACTTGATGCAGCATGGCTGCATCAGTCTGTTTTATGTTCAGTGGCAGATATAGATGAGGAATTGAGGGCTGCTTGAACTTTGCATATTCAAGAGAAAGCTCTTGAGGATCAAAATTGGCTTGTGGAGACTGTCAGGCAGGACACTTTGTTTCTGAACAAAAAGGAAGCTCTGATCACCAAGCCTTTTGCCCCTCCTCATGAACGTGTTAATGGGCAATTCTGWTTCATTCTAAGCTAATTCACAAATTGCATCAAGTTGGGTGAGAATTTGCCTGTAGTAGGATTTTATAGCCCCAAGGGAAGGCTGTTGTAAGTTCATTATCTTTAAATCGAGGTAGAGTTTGAAAGGCTGGCCCTTTCCATTTAGCTGATTTATTGATGTTAAGTACAATGTACCTCTCCAATTTGCATTGTTGTATTGCAGTAACTGAAAGGAAACAGTTTTGGACATCTTTATACGCTACGCTTAGGTTTTAKAGAGTTCTGTAATCTTAATTTTAAGTAAATTAAAAAAAAAACAAAAAACCACTGTATCCTCTATTAATCTGGAAAATTTATATATGTCTTAGGAAAACACACAAATCACATTGGATGGTGTGAACAGGAAAATCTCTACTAATCGGCTGGAAGGAAAAAAATAGATTTTGCAAAAGGTTATCTGAAGTTTCATTTTGACATAAATRCTCCAGTGCCAGAGCAGTCTAGTTCCAAGCTAGACCATTCCCCAGAAAATACTTCTCGTTCTCACACGTTTATTACTGTTTGATGCAAAACAACGGAAACATTTAATATTCATGAGGAGCTCATAGTTTGAATGGAAACATTTACTTTTTAGACACCAAGTATCCTGAATTCTTCAGCTTTTCCTCCATGATAAAATGATGGTATGCTTTCAGSTTGTACATCTCTCGCAGCTGTGTTCTGGTTAGTCCACCCTGACTCCCAGATGGAGGGATGGTGGGCTAGCCCCGTGAGAAATGGGCACAGCAGGGGTTGCCCTTGTTCTCTGCTCTTTAGTAGGTTCTTTTAGATGTGATTGGGGCTGCAGCGGGTGTTGCTGGTCAGATGGAGTGGGATTCTTGCAATCTTGCCTATCATTCTGCCTTAAGTGTGTGGTTCTTGGTGGATTTGGTCACTGATGGATTTGCAGCTTTTGATAAGATCCATAGATCTATGGATCTGCTAATTGTAGGCTCCAAATTAGGCTTTTCTTTCAGCTGGGATGGTCAGAGCAGTTCTGCAGTGGGACTGCTGTTAGTTGTAGATGTCACCCTTTGTCTTCCACGTGTGGTCCAGGTAGCACTAGAGTTGTTCTCCGCCAGAGGAGCTGTCAGCTGTCATCAGTTGCACAGCTGGAACAACTGGGGCTGCTCTGGCATGGGAGGATGGCTGACAAGACCAAAGGAGCTTATCTATGTAGAGCTTCACTTAAGATGTTGGGTTTTCTTGGCAAAAGTTAAAATACAGTATGTCTATCCCCTCTGGTTATGGAGGATTTTGCTACCCCTCTGTCACATTTAGCCGAAATCATCCAGGAGGTTCAGCACTTGTGCAAAAAGGAAAGCGAATGTGTGCACACACAAGTTCATTTCTTCAGAGAAACTCTCCCTGTCATCTAAACGATCTGATTTAACAGAGACGTTTTCTTAAAATGAACCCAATTGTTTTGGCTGACTGCTTTGGCTATAATCTTTGAAATGGTTGACTATGTTAAATCATGATAATTAGCTGTGACCATTAACCTCCTGCAGAGGAGATTACAGGGATAGGAGTGATGAGGAAGTTTTTCATTTTTCTTAGTGCTATTGTTTCAGTCTGTTTGCAGAGTAAACACAATGAGTGTGTCAGTTGATTATGTTGCAGACCATAGGAGGGCATAGGAGACAGACAGTTTTCAAATGTGCAAACATGAGTTTTAGAAAATAACATGCTCTGGAGAGATGTTGGGAAGGCTCTAGGTCTATGCACCTGTGCCTTTCCAACCATCCTAACTGTTTACTTTCTGAGTCGCTGTTTCTAGAGCAGTTATCCCCTTTACTTCGGCTTTTCCCCAACACTATCATATAGACACCTCTGAAAGACTGCACTCTGGTCATTGCTTTAGGATCRTGTTGACTAAGAGCAGCAGAGATTGACTCCTCCCTCCAGGATTTTTGCAGACAAGCACAGCCCAAGTCCTAGAAGGTGTGTTTTTAAAGGGATCTTGCTGTCTGATTGTAGTGCTAGTAAATCAGTTACGACCGTCACAGGGCTGAGAGTGCTCCAAGTAACAAAAAGCAATTATTGATTGTAAGGGAAGATTGCTACAGGAAGGAGGGTGAGCAGGATTTTGTGCGTTTCAATGGCCAGCTGCCCATGCAGTGAAACAGCCTGGATTTAGCTGAAGGAAAGCTTTGTTAAGGAAAGGAGAATCCTTGCTTGGAATAATTGCCTCTGAGCCAGGGAGAATTGACTATTCCAGAGTGGAAACAGGCCCTCAGCTACCTCTGGCACGAACAGTAGGGCTGTTGCAAATCTGATTTGAGTTGCTAACAATAAGGTATTGAAAAGGCAAGMAGACCTAGCAGTTCTCTCTGTATTTCCTTAGGCTCCTAATTTATGCTCAGCTTCACTTGCTGAAGCAAACCTGTAACAATACAAATGTRTATGTGGAAACAAGAGGGACAAAAATCTTTAGCAAAAGGCCAGCCAGAAAGGTCTTAAAAAAAAAAAAAAGTTTCAGAAAGTCCAGGTTTTTATATGAAAGGAAAATAAAACCAGTACTGTAGTTGTTAGCTGTATTTTCTGATATGAAGCTATGAAATGCTCTCTTCCCCCACAGAGCTCATAAAGTTGTGCTCTGTACCAGATGGATTATTTTGTTTTTCATTAAATAAAGAAACTTGTAAACAGTGCTCTGTACCATAGAGATTAGAATCTCCACCATCCCCCTCCTCTTCCTTAAACACTGGAGCACGCACTTTGCAGGTTGGACTTGCACCAYAGCAGAGTTCTGGCTCAGCCCCAGCCTTCTGCCGGTCACTGCTGCTTGGGGGCCAAGCAAGGCATGCTCCCGGCATCTGAGAGCATTTACTGCGTGGGTTCAGTTGTGCTTTTATCAAATCCTATTTCTGAGAACAAATAAAAGTCTTGTTTGCACAGTTTAAATGCCACTCTCTGTGCAACAGCAGCAGTTGGTTGGGTTAGATCTGTGGAGCTGGCACAGCTGCAGGTAGGACAGAGCAGAAAGAGGAGACTGATTACTGAACTGGTTTTTAGGTAGAAAATAGCAAAAAGTGGTTTTATGAAGATCACCAGGAATAGCTACTAGTTTCACTGGTTAAATCGTTATATTTAGTTATTCTGCCAACTCCACAGCTTTCAAATTTGTAAGGTGTAATGTGTTAAAAGTTTCGTTGTGATCCTTGTAACTTGAGCCACAATTCTTGACAGTGTTCTTGTAACACCCGCAAAGCAGCACACCCCTCACTCCACTATTTCCCTTGCCTAATCTGTTTGCCTACTATCTTATGTAACATATCTGTATTTTTTTTTAACATAGTTCTTTTATCAATAAGTTTATTGAACAGTTTGCAAAAGCAGGTGCTATTATCTTCATTTATATTTCCATTATACTGGAAATTTCAGCCATTGCTGTGGTGCAGCAGCTTGTCATGCAGTACACACAGGCACTGGTCAGTTTGTACCACTTTCAGGCTGGAGAAAACTGCTTTGCTGCAAATCCCACTCACTACTGGTCTTGTGTGTGTTACCACGGGTCTATAGCTAGATGCGGAGAGTGATAAAGTGTGAATTGGGACCAAATACGTTGRCTTCTGCTCCACGCACTGGACCTATTTCTCATGTCCTATTACAGAAAACTTCTCTGAAATTACTGGCACATTGCATTCCTAAAGCAGAGAATAGCTCAATTTCATGGTGTACCCAGTTAAGAAATACTGAATTATACTGTTTTAGGTGAACCCTAGATTAGTATTAGATACTTTTTCTTGGTTTTTATTCCTTCTGCTTATGCCAGTTAAATGTTGAATTTTTCTTTTCCTAATCAAGTGTACATCTAGCAAAAATGCTGGGGCAAAATGTTCTTATATTGTTGCTTCTTTTTTTTTTTTTTTTTTTTTTTTTTTTTTTTTTTTTTTTTTTTTTTTCCAAATAGTTTTACAATATTTTGGTAGCTCTATCTGTATATTAGTAAAAATATATTTGAATTATTATCACAAGGTCTGCACACATTTAAATTTTAAATGCTGAAGATACCTAATAGTGATAAATATTTTTGTCACCAAGTGTAATACAGAGATACTTGCTTGATGTAATCATATAACTTTAATTGAGCTTTTTGATGTTCTTTACCATGCCTTRTGAATCAAATAATCCCTTCTGGATCACAATTTTATTCTTCCTGTCTATGCAGTAACAAGCGACTTGTGGCCTTAGTGCCAAATGACACTTCATTCAACACCAGACGAGCCTACACCAGTGAAGATGAAGCCTGGAAGTCGTATTTGGAGAATCCCCTAACAGCAGCTACCAAGGCTATGATGAGCATAAATGGTGATGAGGACAGTGCTGCTGCTCTTGGCCTATTGTATGACTATTATAAAGTAGGTAACTCTGTCATTATCCCTCCCTGCTGCACTAGCAGGGACTGCTCTAGGAGGCATCAAAAGAGCCAGTTTTCAAAGACAGAAAGTCACTGAATCTTGTTTTCTCTCTAATATTTGCATCAAACACCTGCTCCATTGTAGGAAGCCTGTCTGAAACAGTTTTGATGTATTTAATTCTGGAGAGAAAAAAACAGAATCAGAATTCCCATATTACATTTTCTACCATATTATCTTTTTGAGCATAGTAGTCTTCCTCTTCCTTTGCAAGAACATTGGATGATACTTGAAATGTTTATTAAAAAGAATAAAAGGGGAGGCATTGTCCATCTGTAGGTTTGTCTCCTTTTCTGGTTCATTCCACACATGTTTTAGTTTGTTCTTTAACTGGAGTATCTCTCATCTGACAGTTTCCCATGTTATTTTTGTTTGTATAATGATTGCAGTAAGCTGTATAAAAACATACAGTGAGGTCTAGCCCATGCACTGGAAGTTTGCAGGACAGAAATGGGGCTGGACACAGCCAGAGATCTAAGTCAATTTATGGAAGAAGTGACACATTTGAAGTTTGTCCTGTTCTAAACCCACAGCCTTACATAACACTTTGATAACATCTTATATATATATATATATAATTAAAATAGAAAGTGTCTAAATAAAACTATGTTTGAGATTTTTGCTGCAATTAGAGAAGATGCACAGCATGCATGTCTGTGTGATGCAAAAATGCCACTCTGAAAACCATTCTGACCCCTTGGTACTCCGCAAGTGAAATCAGTGTTGCCTCCCAAGAACTAGAGAATGAAATTGTTTRTTTCACTTTAACTATCTCCATACTCCTGAAGCCAGCTATGGCTGCTTTGGACAGATGATCTCCTGTGAAAGCCAGCACAGCAATGCTAGCTCCCCTTCCCTGAAGAAGTAACAGGAATGGAAATGAAAAACCTTTGCTTCTAGTATTTATTAGTACAAATGCTTTTAAAGAAYGAACTCCTCTTTTAATCTCTGCTACATTAATTGAGTGTTCTGGAGAAAGGGTTGTAGGAAAGATGCCATATACTAATGTTATGGTTAAATATTGTTTTAATTTCCTTGCTGATTTTATTTCAAGAGATGTTCCTTGCTTTTGTGTGTTGTTTGTAGAGAAAACCTTTCCCGGTGACAAAAAAGGTCCTTTTCTGTGCTTGACATAGTTACCACGATGCCAGAGTCTGTGAAATAAATATGGATTCATAAAATTCAGGRTGTGTCTAAGCATCTGGAGCATTGRTTCCTGTCTTAGTAATGTCTTTATATGTAGCAGTTCATTAACCTGATGAATTTTTATAATAAGACCAGAGAACAGTCCTTTTCCTTCTCAAAACCGTGTTCTAAAAGACATGTCGGTTCCTTGTTCCTGGCAGTTACAAGACTTGGGGCTCAGATGGAATAAGGTGTGATAAACATCTCAAAGCCATTTCCAGCATTCAATCAACTATTTTTGTTTTAAATTGGGAAGAAATGATAACTCTTATTGTTACTTTCAAATGTGAACTTAAAACTTAATTTCTGTGCTGTAATGGGGAAGTGTAGAGGACTTCCAGTGCATCAGACTCTTGAATTGMCCTTATTTATTATCTAGCTCATTTGTTCTGACATGCTGGATAATATTTTTGAAGGACTTTTTCTAGTCAATAGGAATTATTTGAATTTATCTGTTTCGTTTTTAACTTTTTCTAGTAGTGATATTTACCTAAACATAGATCCTTATTTGGAGATAAATATATAATCTTAAAAGGGGACTTARAATATGTAAACTGTGGCATTTATCCCAGTTCAAAAATATATGAGAGGTTTTTTTTTTTTAACCAGAAGGATGCTTAACAGGGAAAGAGGATGTCCCTAAAAGAAAGAAAAACKCTGGCTAGAACTCTGTGACTCTGCTGCTGTCTTGCAGATACAGTGATGTTATCATTGGCTATTGTATTGCACTGTACTACTGCTTTTCCTCCAAAGTCAGAKATTTTTCTGATATTTCTTTAAAATCATCGAAGATAAAATGCATGACTTTAGCCCATTCTTAGGTCTATTCTCTTGCTGTTCAGTCCTGAGTTAATTGCTGTTATGGAGTGGATATGTCTTCTTGTGCAAAAAGATARATTAGAAGTTTTAGTTCCCAAATTGCTGGTTCAGCAAGAAAAGAAAAAATGGTTATGGCAGCAACTTTGCCCTTGGTGGTTTCATACCTGTGCTGCTGTCAGGAGACTAGTATGTGGGAATACAAATCCTTGAAGTCACTTGGGATCAATTCTGAGTCTGTCAGCAGATTTGACTGGGTTTTTACTTCTCATAGCTGTTGATGCAATCAGCAAAGCAGAAGTCAGTGTTTCTGATGACATACCAGCTTGCCCTGACCTGTCCCCATACCAGGCAAGGGACACATCAACTTTCCCTAGGTATGAGTCCTGCATTCTTCAGGCTGCTTTCTAACAGGAGGACTAACCKGGAGCTTATGGCTTAATTGAAAAGCCTTTTTTATCGGAGCTAAAATTGTCTCAGTGCAGAGCTTTTCAAAGCATCATATCTTCCTTCTCATCTTGTTTTATTCAGTGAAAAGTGTGTGTGTTTTTGGAATAATGAGCTTTGACTTTTCGACAGATTGATATTCAAAAGATAGGACATGAAGAAGAAAGCTTTGCTCCTGACTGTTGTGCTCAAGAACTAGAAAGGAAAACAATTGCTATGTTTTTTCCCTTTGGAAATTTTCTTTCCCAATCAATGTCCCAAAGAAAAGCAGCTCSTGGCATGTGTGAATTAGACAACACTGATAGGGTTACATTTTTCTAGTTGTTGCAGTAGAGCAGTCTGAAGCTGCAAATGCCTGACAGTTGCATTTACCTGACCCCATGCCTGGTGTTGTTCTCAGGTTCCCAGAGATAAAAGGCTGTTATCTGTTAACAAAGTGAGTGATAATCAAGAAGACCAAGATAAAAGGTACAGTATTATTCAAAATCATATACCCAGCTACTGAAAGTGTTGATCAGTTGTGAACTGGAGGGACTGTGATAGCTTGAGGGGTTTATGGTTTTCTTTCAAGAGTTAAAAGAATGAAGAYTGTTTGGGAAGAACATTTTACTTTTAATTTATTGGAAGAAATGAGTAGTATTCTCAAACATGCAGTTTGCAAAGTAGCAGAGTGTTTCACTGTGTTTGGTGGTGGTGTTTTGCTGCTGYTGCTGGGATTAGTAAAATCAGATTTTATTGACTGTTGGCTATTGGCTGTTTGTTTTCTTGTTGGAGGGCAAGAAGTGAGTAGTCTGGCCTCAGTAACCTCATTTGTAGTCATATTTAACTTAACTTAGGGTTTGCCCAGCAAATAAAGTAATGCACTAAAAATCATCTGCTTAGAAYGTTGTTCTCACTCCTCTCAGATTTCAGCTTTTCTCTGCAGGCTAGAAGTGACTTGAGTAAAAGGAAGCTATCTCCTACCATTAAGACTTGTGGAAAAGAAAGAGGGTATATTTTTGCAGAAAGAGCTGGAAAGTATCTCTATATAAACTTTTGGTGGAGATAAGCGACACAAGGTTTATTTCAATGTAACTAATTTGTGACAGCCTTATATGATCTCCACTAGCCTTTCATAAGGTGAATGTTTCAATAGGTAGTAGTATAAATTTACTGTTTCAAAATAGGCTAAGAAATGTTCTTTGAAGGATAGCTTTTCTTCTACGAAGACCAGAGAAATACCTAAATTGAGTGTGATTGACAAAACTAGCCTTCAGTGGAAAGGCAAGAGAGAGGAACAGTAGTGTCAGAACATTGCTGCTGAGTTGAAAACAAAGCAGTGTTACACCTACTAAAATTTTTATGAGTTAGCARTTTTGTCAGTGCAACTACTATCAGCAATCAGATTGCTTTCAGCAGCAACTGTGGGTAGATGTGGGAATGCTGCTGAGGTTACTTTGCAGCCGCTATAGTTACTGATCTACTTTGCTACAATGGGATTCCTGGGATTGCTCTTTTAGAAKAGCATTGGTGCCAGAGTTAAGCAAACAGTACTGGCCTGCCAACAGCCTTAAGGAACATGCTATCAGTGTATGAATTTTGCTGTTARTATTCTGCCTATTTCATGTACAAATTATTTATTGTGAGTAATCTATACCTTGCCTTATTCTTTATTCTTATTTTGTATAGAAAGGCTGTTGCACTGCTGAATTGATTTTGCATTTGAATTATAAACCAAGGCAAGCGCAACCCTGGATACTCAGAATTTTCTGTAACACTGTTACTGACTGTGGGTCAAATCAAATGTATTATCTTTCCCTATTTGTTAATAGGGCTCTGGACCTCTCTTACCTCACAATTTCTTTTGCCTAGTGTTTGTTAGTATATTACTTCTTATGGCAGTGCCTTGTCAGAATTGAAAAATCTCTTTTCCTGACATCTAAGACCATTTAACTGCTCAAGGAAGAGATTGCCTCTATCAGGACAGTTCATAACATTTTTTGGTTTTGTCTCACAGAAATTGTCTTAATACSACGGAAGCTCAGAGTAACTTAAGTGGGGGAGAGAACCGTGTGCAAGTCCTGAAGACAGTGCCAGTTAATCTTTCCTTGAACCAAGATCCTTTGGAATCGTCCAAAAGGGAATACAACACAAGTGTGTCTGGGACTTCAACACCTATCACAGGGACAGGAGTGACTGTGGTTAAAGCAGAGGAATTCACCCCTGTTTTTATGACGCCACAAACACATTACACAAGAGGAGAAAAYGAGGAGCACCGAGGAGTTATCTTTGAACCATATGAAGTGTCCAACATTGCTCCCCACACAAATTATCTCAAAGATGATCAGCGCAGTACTCCTGACAGTACCTACAGTGACACCTTCAAAGATGGAGGAACAGAAGTAAGTTTTTCATCTCAAATTAGCATCTAAGAACTCAATAAAAAGCTGTAAACAAGATAAGGATATTTGAGCTTGCAAACAAGATAAGGAGATTTGAACTATCCACAAGGGTCATTAGAAAAACAGTGATGCTTGTTTCAACAGGTTAATTTCTACTCCTTGCTGTGTGTTCCTATCAGTCGGTGCTCTGAATATAGGGAGGCATCATGAGGCATTCAGAAGACAATTTTAAAGATGCTTATTGAAAATTCTGAGAATAAATATTGTTTTTTTTTTTTTTGTCTTTGGGGATATTGTGTCAAGTAGAGGATAGTTGTCATTCTGAAAGAAGATTTGTTTTCCATTAAGGAGATCTGCCTTCAGACCTATTGGTAACAGTAAGAAATAGCAGCCACTTTGTAACAGGGAAATTCTAGATGTTCTTTTGAAAGTGCAAATGATTAGTGACAGCCTCTGCTTCTGATTAAAGCCAAGTAATTTATTCAGAAGCTGTCTGTTGCAGTAAGCTCTATTTTTCAATAGAAGCAAATAAGAAAAAGTAGCGAGTTAGACTAATAGAGGGGAACAGAATTCAACAGGCAAGGAACAACTTCTGTATATGTACAGGAATGAGGAGAATAAAGGCAAGGAGAGCTCCCTCTAACTACTTTACAATTATGTTGAGTCAAAGTAATTTTACAGTCAGTTTTACTATGGTGAGTACCCTCTGGCTGCTTTTRCCTGTTGCAGAATAATGCAAACAAGCTAGAAATGTGGAAAGGTAAAGACTATTCAAAGCTGACAGTGCCTCTGCAAATAATTAGAGATATTAGATGGTAAAACTCCCCTAGGGTTTTTCTCCTCCCCATTCTACAAAATTGTAAATGTTACAAAAGTACAAGGCAATCTACATTAAGTCTGAACTGCCCTGATTGTGTATGTGAAAAAWTTACTGTGTGTTTGTGTACATATATTATAGAAAGCTACATTGTCTCCGTGAGCAACATAGATCAGGATGTCTGGAGGTGAAATCTGTTTTCAGATATCAAACACATGTACATCAAGTAAATGAATAAATAATGAAGAAATGTAGCTTCCCATTGTAAAATCAGTAGGATCAAACCTTGGATTAGAGACACTGCTCTGCATTATCAAATCACATTATTTCAGCTATTTTAAATTGTTATTGGTAAATGGCTCTTCTGGTACCATACTCATGCCTTTCCCAGGGGTGCTGTTTCATTACTTTGATTAGTTCCGGGACATGCTGCAGAGAGGTTCCCAAAAAGCCCATCTGCTTTGTGCAGAGAGCWGTCAAACATGCCAGCTTGTTAAATTTGGATGTAAAAAGGAACTTTGCACCTATCTGTTGGCTTTGCATCCCAAACTCTATGTAATTTTGTTATAATGGTTAAATGTTCTTGAAATTATTGTTTAAATTACTGCACCCTGTTGGATGCAGTACTTGTCATCTAGACTTTCTGTGCAGTTTGTGGAGAAAGYATCAGTTCAAATCCACTTGCCAAAAGTGGCTGGAGTGGTTTTCTAGGTGCATTCACTCTCTCTATCGACATCTCCCCTATTAACTTACAAAGGACACAATAAACTTTAGCTCCACAGCCGTAGTTGTTAGGTGAGGTGTGTGTCTTCTAGTCCCAAGTGTTCACATGCATGTGGCATGGGAGCAGGAAAAGCTTTGACACCCTGCTGGAGCCTCACTCAACACTGAGCCTGTCCCTTTGTTTTTGCTCAACCACCCAAATCCCAGGATATGCTTCACCCAGCTGTTCTGTCTGCTTCTCCAGCCACATGCTGTTGTGTAGGCACTGCTGGATGAAGCAGGTGTGGGGAGACCATAAGGTGTAATGTCAAAACATACCAAAATAAACTTACGCTAAATTAGTGTTTAGAAGTAGGAATGGAGTTGTTCTTGCTAGTTTTCTTAAGTGCTTGCAAAATATTTCCTAAGTACTGGTGACAATGACTGGGTTTGGATTTGCCGTAATACTTAGTTTCTAAACCCATTATAAATACATACTTAGAAATTTCAAAACATTTATGGAGTGACTTAGTTGTGTTATGCTGTAGAAAGTATTGAATTTTTATAGAACCCTGTGGTAGTGGACTCTGGTCAATTTCTTYTTGTGGTCTTTGGACACAATTTTAACAATTATGTAAGTATAATGTTCTCATTTCTTTCATTTCTTGTTTAGCTGTGCTTAGTTTGATAGTTCTCTGTAGCATAAACAAATTCTTTGAGGTTAGGTAAGTAAATTGTGTTTTTTATGATGTTAACCTCTAACCTTCATATAAAATGTGACTAGTATTAATATTCACTCCAGTTTTTAGATATTTTGAGTTTTAGATTGTTGATGTTTTTTTCTGAGTTGTCTTTAAAGAAGCATACTTCTGTTGGTATTTGCATTTCAATTGTATCAAACAGTATTTCACTGGTTTTATTTTTCAGAAGTATCGGAGTGTGTCAGTGGGGGCTGAAGAATATATTTATGAACAAACAAGGTATGGCATAAASTTTGCAATGTGGTGGCTGGCATCAGGCAGGAATGTAGTGAGARGTAGCTGCCTGTGTCCACTTCCCACCCTTCCTTTCTTCACCCTGGGGTACCTGCAGGACTCCCTTGAAGCATCAGTCTCCTGTTATTCTCTTGCTCATGTTAGCTCTCACATCTAGCCAATTTGTATCTCATCTATTGCGTTTCCTCAGCATTGTTTTAAATTAGTAACTCCTCTGAGGCCCCTCTGAGATATGCAAGATGAAAATTGTTAAGAGAGGTTCCCCAGGTAAAAGGGCATAACTTTGACAGCCATGTCATGAAAAATCTTTTCAGGGTGGTAGAATGCAGAAGTCAAATGCCCTTGAGCACGCAACCTGCTGCCCCTTCATGTGACACTAAGTCAGGCCTGTGCCCTTTTCTCTAAACGATTGTCCATCTGTAGGACAAATGGTGCAGCAGGATGGACCTGGGTCTGCAGCACTGGTGGTGTAGCTCTTCCAATACACTCAGAGGGGTTACACTTGCCAGCATCAGCAGTGCCTCTGTCCCCTTGTACACAGGACAGGGAGTCTGTGCCAGCACAAGCCATARCAGAGGGGACAGTGATGCCTTTGTGCTGCCTTCCCACTGTGTGACAGCCTTTGCTGTGTGAGCCCAGTGCTGCCATCAGTGGGTTGTATAGGTATAGATGGGTATTTGCTTTTTACCTTAGTTTTACTTGATTTGTAACTTTTAAACAACGAGAAAAATTACTGGATTTCGATTTATATGCTGAGACACTTAGAAGTTACCTTCATTTAGTTGAATGATYGCTACTAAATGAAGTAATTGATACTAATAATTGATACTGTCTGAAATTTCTTCTTTTGGATAGAAAGACAGTGGTTCCGTTGTTTTTTTTCCTACCTTCTCTTTGAATGTGCATTTAAATGTAATTATTATTCATATATTTTATTGTGTCTTCTTTTTTCCATTGGATAGTTAAAAATATTCCTTTTTTCCCCTTTATTTTTATATTGGTACAGCAGTACTATGATGATCCAGAGCATTTGCTTTAATTAGAAAATTAAGGATACACTGTTGTTTTGGACCARCATATTCCTCCTGTTGGTTCTGCTCCGGCATTGCTTAAATACTTGCTGAATTAGGACCTTTGGGAAAATGCTTCCACAGTATCTCCAGTTCATGAGCACTCCTTGCATTTAGATTCCTGTGAATTCTGAAAAAAGAATTCTTTGTTTTTTTCTGCAAGATCAACATTGTTTTCATTTAAGAGAAAGTGAGGACCTGTGGGCATCATTTTTGTTGGATTATTGTTCAAGTCTGTTATTGGAGAAAGTGGCTGAAGAGGCTCAGTGAGAATTGTTKCCAGCTAACAGTTCACTAGTTAATGGAGACTTTACTTTTTATGGTTTGAGAACTGCTTTGAAGTTGGAAAGTTCTTCTGTGAAGGAGGGTCTTTTTTAAGATCTAAAATTTCAGCACAAGAGCAAACTGTTTTTTCCCCGATATTTTTCTAAAGGGAGGTTACTTGATTGCAGATAAAACTAAATGTAGGCACTTCATTCAGCCTGACTAATTTTGAAAAGAAAGCTTATAAAAACCTYGATTTGCATGTTGTCTTTAACCAAATGAGCTTACTGGCCCTTRTTTTTGTATTTCTTCTTTGAACTGTGCTGAAAGTAGTAGTTGAAGCTTCCATTCTCTGTGTCCATCTTTTGCAACAAGTTTTATTCTGGTAGGGTATATTTTAAAAATTCATTTATTTATTTATTTCTCTTTCTGCAATGCTTCTAAATTTAAATATCTGTGTAGTTGATGATTTCCTGCAAATCAGACTGAATCCCCTCCTGGTAATTGGCACTCTCATTGCGGGGTACACAGTCTTACACTTCATAATGGTTCCTTTCACAGAAAGTACAGATTTGGCCTTTGATCCAAGAGACAGTCCAGATAGTTTTACACTTGATTGCGAGRTCTGATGAAGTTGAAAAAAGAAAATTGCTATTTTAAATTGCCATGTGACATTTTCCTGGAATTTTATTATTAGCTTCTTATGCCTTGTATGGTGCAATAATTATATAATAAAAGAGAAAAGGAGAAAGTGATATAGATTTTGTATGTGTTTCTTTCCTTGTCTTTTCAGCAGCACTTTTCAGTATACGCTAGAAGCAACCAAGTCTCTGCGTCAAAAGCAAGGGGAAGGACCCATGACCTACTTGAACAAAGGACAGTTCTACGCCATCACCCTGAGTGAGACGGGTGACAACAAATGTTTCCGGCATCCCATCAGCAAAGTCAGGGTATAGTCCCATTTCTTTCCTAGGCCTGAATGGAGTTCAGTGGATAGATGCAGCTGTGGTTGATTGGCTTTTAATTTKTTTTTCTTGGGGGAAGGACAGAGCAAGCTTATTCTCATGCTCAATGTAGAGGTGGGAGAGCGTCATATTGATGGTTTGCTGTCCAGTTTTTTCAGTGTGATCTTGTAAGTTAATGATATGTATATCTGCCTCAGTTTATGCTTTGGTGGAATGGTGATTGCATCGATACTACACTTGACACTGGTGAACTTACCACCGTGATTAAAGCAAAGAAATCCAAGATCTACTCTGTAGTGCATCTTCACTCACTGATGCGATTCATCAGCTGCTTTCCAGTGCATTTCAGATAAAACATGAAGAGTTGAATCCATCCTTTGTAACATAGATTTTAAATAATTTTCATTGTATAACTGTGAGTGTTCACTTGATTTTCATCCAGAAGTATAACAAAATGAATGGTTTGCATCTTAGATTCTCTGGGGAGAACTATAGTTTGTGTACTCAGCAACATCTACCTGGTGAATGGGCCTCCTGATTTCTTTGRTAATGTTTTTGAGTTAACAAATCCTAACCCAGTAACCTTGGAATGAACAATRAGCCCTGTAAATTTTACCCTGAAGCTGGCAGGGCTGCATATGTATGAGGCTGCAAAAGCRTTTCCATCCAAATAAATGAAGTACTCTAGAAATGTTGTGACTTTTGTCGAAGTAACCAATGAAAGTCAATGTAAGCAGTGAAGCAGACAACAACCTATATGTTTCTATCATACATGGAGTTTAGAGAGACTCTTCCTAAACCAAGGCAATGATTTGGAAACCTGAATTAGCAGTTAATTTTTAGCCTGGCTTCCTCAGGACATGAGGCTGTTGGCTGAATCTGATGTAAGACTTCTCTGTTGCTGCACAGTCTCTTTCCCTGATACCTSTTCCTTCCCATTTTGTGGTTCCAGCTCTAGCACTTGTAGAGCTGAAACAGGAGGCAGGAGCTCACTAGTCTAACTGGAAACCAGTCCCCGTATGCCTGGTTCAGTGCACTGCCATGTGAGCTTTGAAGCTGTGGCAGCAGAAGGGTGGAAATTATAAAAGGAAAGGAGAGACCATATTCTTCTGAAGGATGTAGTTGACATAAGATTGTGAAATGCTGTGCAACTTTCACAGTCGTGTTCCGTTTGCCAGGGCCCTACTGAAGTGACTGTTGAATTCATTGCCAGTTCCATCCAAAGCTGACAGAGGTGCAAGAGGTTTTGAATGTATTAAACCTCTACAAGTTCTCTTTAATTGTTTCACAGAAGAATAACATTAGTGCTGTCCCTGGTGGAAAAGCTAGTGTGCATGGCCCATTCTGGTCAGTGCAGCAGCTGGCCAGCCACACATGCCTGATGTCCACCCAGTATGTGCAGGCATAACTCAGGACTCCTTCACTGTGTGTACTGCCTCGTGCCTGGGGAAAGGCTARATAGATGTGGAAGATGTGGTGATGATGTTCAGCTTTTCTGGGTGGAATGCAGGTCACAAAGGACATGGAGGGTTATGGTGGTGACTGTGGAGGGACACAGATCGTGAATCAGTTGTGATCCAGCTCCTCAGCTTGTAAAACAGCTTGATGGTGGATTTTTTGTGCTTAGTGTCTTGGGGTTAAAGGAAGAACAGGATATTTAAAAGTGAAGTTTTTGTTCTCTTTGTGACTTATTTTCAATTAATTTTAACTGGTATGATCATTCTTTCATTGTTTTATGCTGTTTTGCTTGCCTACAGCAGGGCTTTTTTATAAAGCCTRTATTGCTTGTGTAAAATTTTGCATTGAAAATTCTGTTTCCTTTGAATCACAGTTAAGCAAAGAGAATTCAGAATGTGAATTGAAAACCTCAGCAAAGATCAGTAAATAGTTACACTGAGTTTGTCATTAAATACATATATGAAAAAATCCTGCTCCCAAGAAGAGTGTTTGGACTGTGTATGCTRAAACTGAAAATGTCCTGCCTTTAGCCAGGGAAGAGMACTTTTTAAAACTAAGATATGATTAAATTTCATTTGAACTGTCAAAAACATAATCCTGGGCCTTGCATTTATTTTACAACTACATTTCTTCYGCCTTGAGTCTTTTAAGTAGATTGYAATATTTGACTAATWAAAACCCAGCAGTCTTATACAACCAAAGTACTGGGAAGAGGGTGGTGACTAGATTGGAATTAGAGGCATATGKGACATTTTAATTTTTGTGTTCCTGACTATTAATTATTCTAACTAATGTGACTTTTGGTKTTGTTTTTCGTAGAGTGTGGTCATGGTTGTTTTCAGTGAGGATAAAAACAGAGATGAACAGCTGAAATATTGGAAGTACTGGCATTCCCGGCAGCACACAGCTAAACAGAGAGTCCTTGACATTGGTGAGTGTATGAGGATCTCCAGATGTTTCAGCGAAGATTTTACATATGGAAAGCCCTGGTGCCTTGCACAGGAATGTGGTGGAATATATCGGCAATGGCTGCAAGCCTTGTACTCAGCTTTTAGCAATGGCTCAKTCCTGTGAGGACTATGGGGTCTATGGAGCAGGATAGGGACCATGCAGAAGGAATGGTTCTYAGCAGTTACATGGAAGAGCTGCCCCTTGCATGCCTATTTAGTGGTATACCACCTTCTGCAGCTGGGAAGTCAAGGTCTGCACCACCTTGGGCGTGGCAGTGTTTGCTCCCTTTGTTTTTTCAAAGGCTGATCCAGTCTTTGATCCAGTAACAGTTAYGTTAGTTAATTGATGTGGAATTGCAGCCCGAGAGTGAAGATGTCATTGTGGTGACCGCRAAGGAGCGTGCAGGACTCCTACACCCCCGGAGTTTGAGTCTAGTCAGTGTCAGCAGTGAGGAAGATGCAAGCTCTGGGTGCTATCCTGAGAGATCTTGTGCTGTCCTGAGAGACCTGTTTACTKTTCATCTCAGCTAAAGCATTTACAGCCCATTTGAGCCCCAACTGCCCTATCTGAATGCTTGGGAGATTTTAGCAGAGGAAGAACACGTACTTGCTGCCAAGGAGCCTGAAGTTGAAATCGGTGGCAGTGTCTAGACATCAAGCGCTTCTCCCTCCCACGTGCAGTTTACRCATGCAGCCATCTGCACGGATTCCAGTCAAAGGAGTCAGAGGAGTCGGCGAGACCAAAGCACACAAAGTCTATCTTGTTTTGACCGCCTGAGGGAACCAAACCATTGAATGGGAGGAATGAGAGGGGGCAGAGAGGGGGGCGAAACCAAAGCACGGTTACTTGTAGAGAACATTTGGAGACTTCAGGGACTGAATTGGGTGAGCAGGGAATCAGTCCCCAAGTGGTCCTAATCGCTGCCGTGCCTGTAGATTTTAAAATGATGCAGTCTCCACCAAGAAGTCCTCGTGTTATTTGAAGTCAAGCGTGTTTTATCCAAGCAACTCTTCCAGAATCTCCTCTCTGCCTCTTGTCTTATCATCATTATTCTGGCTGAACCATTTCATTAACTTCTTTCTCCCAACTCCCCGCCCCGCCCCTGGCAGCCCCTTCTCCGCCCCCCCCCATTTTCTCTTTTTCCCTTTTCGGGTAGCTAAGGCAGTAAAACTGCCATCCCAGACCAAATGACCTTTATCATGACACATTAAAAGAACAAGTAGGCCACGTCACAGCTCTTCCTGAAGGCTGCCTGGTTTTTTGTGCTAGTCCTTACAAGCTTGCAGTGGTAATGTTCATACCTTTCAAWAGTATGTGCTGAGGAGCTCGCTCCATTGTAGTGCCAACACCCTCTTGACTCCACTGTGCTTGTGTCCTGGCACATTTCAGTTGCTTTGCTCCAACAAGTTAACTTATGATACATATTCTGTAAAATAGTACTCTGCAAATAAGTGCTGTGCATGTGTGTTTACCTGTGTTAATGTCTTAATTTTCCGTTAGTTGGAGTTGACATAGGTCTGCTTTTGAGACACACTAGTGTGTATTCTTTATTTGGACGGCAAACATGAGCAAAGTACAGTGTAGTATGACTTTCTGATAGAGCACTTGTCAGAGTTTTCTGCAAAAAAATAGAGCTAGCTGTTGCTCAGTAGTGTTTTCTTGAGAACAACTGGAATATGGCCTTAGTTCTTACCTATTTCTGATGTACATTTCATTGTCTTTGGCAYTTACATTATGGCTAATGGGCTTATTAGGCCAGAATGGTTCCCAACTTTATTTCCCAAACAAGTATCAAGCTGCATTTAGCAAAATCTTCTAGTTTTATCATTAAATGATCTAACTGAGCAACTTAATCCAAATTTGAAGTTGGCCCTGCTTATGCCAGATAACCTCCAGGGGTCCCTTCCATGCAAAATTATATTGAATCGCTCTATGAAGATTTCCCTTTATGTTAAAAATTCAGATCCCTGAAYGAGTCCTATGAGGAATACTGAGTTAATGTCCAGGTCCCGTGAGCTTAACAAAGTAAATTAAGTGTCTATAACTGCATCACCTGTTACATAGATGTTACTATTATTTTAATTTGATGTTTGTAGCATGTTTAACATCTGTGGATCCTTTTTAATTTGTCCATGAATGCACTTTTAATCTAGATCATGATGTGTTCCTTAGCCAGCAGAGGATCAAATTAATTTAGGATGCTCTGGGTTTCAGCTGTTAAGTTCTCAGATGGGTGGGGGGACTGTGCTTGTGCTGCTTTCCATAGTGGCAGAGCTACTCTGACTGCCTTCCAGCCTGCAGTTACACTTTGGAAATCAGAGGAAATAGTGACTTGCTCCTTCACTTCAGACACGCAAGGGTCATTGCTTTCATTTGTTTTGTGTATTGCCTGGTGCACTTCCTGGGAGGAAGGATGGTTGAATGATTAGGTGCAGTGTCGGGTCTGAAGATGCATTAATATCAGAAAGATAAACATGTACTTACATGTARGCAGGTCCTTAGTGCTTGAGGAATAAACCTGAGGGCTTGACACTTACATATGTTAAGCAGGAAGGTAAGGTGTTTTCCAAAATTTAGGCTATGTGCTGTAATGGACTTTTCTGAAGAAGGAGGAAGGTGCATATTTATTTTTTTTAGCAGGAACAGGGGGAGTGGGGGGAAACTGCTCTCTGTTTTACAGTGCTGTGATGTTGGATCACTAGCTTTTAAAATAATATCAAATAAAGAATACAATACTTAACTTCAGCAGATACTGATTATTTAGAATARGTACAATAATTTGACATCCTGGAACAGGTTCGAATGTGAAGGGTGGGTGTAGAAGCTTTGTGTTCCAAAAACTTACCTGTGTTTTTTTTCAGGATAGTTTGTATTATTTATGTGCGCAATACTAAAGTGTACAATGGCATGTAATGCGTGATTAGTGTTAAACATGAAAAATTTGCCCTTGTTTAATATGCTATTTATGTAACAAAAGAGGATATCATTCCTGTGCAGCCAATTTTTGCATATTGAACAACCCCAATTTTTTCTTTCTGGTAACTCACAGCAGGAGAAGAGGAAAAGTTGTAATCACTCTAACAGCTTCCAAATATTCTTAGATGTAAATRCTTTCTTAATCAATGGAGGATCCTTATTTAATTGTCTGTAAATTCAGGGGAATAGGATGCAACTCTGCTTTTTAACAGCATGTCACATAGACACTCCATCAGATTTGTGTGTGGCAATTAAAGGAGAGGTATGTGTTGAGAGACAGGAAGGATTGGTGGGATGTGAGGTTCTGACARCCTTTTAGAAGAAAACATGTGTCTTTACGAGACATCTTGTTCATGTCTTTCCAAAGTGCACCTACATAGCACGCCCATAGGCAGCAGTCAGTTGCACGAGGCACTTTCTGGTGAATCATAAATTTAAGAGGTGGGTGGATGTGTGCACACGCATATTAAACTACTTATGTGTCTTCTAATTCCCCACATTTGCATTCTCACACTGAATTTAGATAGTGAAGCCAATGACTTCAGTGAGAAAGAAGATCTGAGTTCAAGGTGGGGATAAACAGCCTGCCTTCCCTCTCAAATACTGTAATTTGCTGYATCACCAAATATCTCATGCTGTTCTGTGGTCTGAATAGTGATTTTTTTACTGGATTCAAAATCATTCATGTGTCCCAGGGACACAATTTCCCTTACCCCATGAGATGCCAGTGTTCTTGTGTTTSAAAGGAAAAAAAATATACTGATTTAATGTCTGAAAGGTAAAATAATTCTTGCAACAATATTTTGCTGTAAATGTTTTTAAAGCAGTTATTACCTAGAAATAATTTTTTAGAGATGAGCAGTTTAGGCAAAGGAAATGAATATTGAAACCATTTGTGTGTCTCACAATATACAAAAACATCTTCTTCCTATAACTCATTACAAAGCAAAGAACCAGGATGCTTCTGAGGCACAGATTTGGGAAACCTTTAGAYGAAGTGTGTAATCTCAGCCCTCTGGCACTGAGTCCAATTACAGTCCTTAAGGGATTCTTAGGAAATGTTTGTCCCAGAGAGAGTTGTTCCATTTGCATGAGCAATCTGGAGGTTCCTTTAATCAAGTGGGTATTACCTGGTATCTCTCCTAATCTGTCATCAAAAAGAAGAAAATGTGTTAAACTGTCCCACAWAGGGAGAGAAAAGCAGTGCTTGTTCCTCTTTTCAATTATAAAAAAGACTTTGGAGTTGTCTGCTTTACATAGTTTTCCACTCTTACAGTTTTTGGGGGAGGGKTGGTTAACTTTGAAATCTTCCTCCCTTTTGCTTTGCTTTCCTTCCAAAATGCTAGTTTATTGATGATAATAATAACCACACTTGGGGAAGAAGTGAGAAGAAAGTGGAGCTTTTGTAGTCAGACAAATCAAAGCTTTTTTTTGTTGTTTGTTTGCAGTTGTAATAGTGTACATACTTTGGGAAAAGAATCTTGGTGGTTTTGGTTCTTTGTGGGAGATTTTTTTTTGTTGGTTTGGATTTTTGTGGGGTTTTTGGATTTGTTTTTAATAATATATAAATATTAATCCAGCATCCAGTGCAGTAATTCCAGGGAAAGTTGAAATACACACTGATGATTTCCTCCAGTGATAGCTCTTAGACTTTTAGAACGCTTCTTTAGGATTTACCATAATATTATTTTCTTAATGTCAAGGTTCGAACAGTCCCTTTAAATGTTCAGTAGTTTTCAGTTAATTTTCCAGTTTTGGCTATTCCTGGGCCAAGCTAATGAATGCATGGACTCATTGCCAGTAGTCACACTTCTTTTTGAGAGCACTATTTTGCAAGAATGTTAGCTAGTGATATACCATGCATAAGACTCAAGTTGCATTATATTACCCCTTTGTAATTAAGATTATTCATAATTAATCATAAACAACACAAGAGGTAGTTTTGACACGCTAGACAACCCAGCTGAAAAAGCAAATATGTACTATGAGTTATAAAACAGAAAGTTCAGATCTCTTCATGAATATTTTGTTTGTTTTTTTCTTACAGCTGATTATAAGGAGAGTTTCAATACCATTGGGAATATTGAAGAAATTGCATTCAATGCTGTGTCCTTTACTTGGGATGTCAATGAGGAGGCAAAGGTGAGGAAAAGCCATACAGATGGTATCCCTTTATAATTACCATCCATGGTCAGGCACTGTTCATTTCTCTCCTTTCTGAMGAATAAGAGGGCTTGTTGGTATGTGCCCAGGCAGAGAAACAATGAAAGATCTTTTCCTATTTGCAAAGTCAGGTGTCAGACACAAGCTGAATTATTTCTTTTTCTAAATTATCAACTTCCTTTCTGCACTATAAATGTCTCTAGTAATCAATATTCTGTAAGTTAGACTATGCTTTCCCTTATGTTGGTGCCATTATTTTTTATGTTGTTACACAGACTGACTTTGCAATTGGTAATGAATGTATTTTTGAGGAGTGAGGCTTTGCTTTACCTTTTTCTTYTCAAATGGTCAAGTACCCTCAGGCATGGGGTTTTCCATTCAGGAATGTGACTGTTAAGTGGACCTATAAACCAGGGCATCAGAACACCTTAACTAGTTTCTTACAGATAAGGTTTTACAAAGGCTGCCAGAGTGCTTCAGCTGCATTGACTAGTGTGGGAGAAATGAAAAACTGCCGGTAATTATAAGAAGAAGTTGGCCCCCCGGAAAGCAAACAACAAGGGAAATAGGCTGTGTAAAATGAGTGGGGTAATGCAGTACTCTTGGGGATGTRGAGTTAATCAACAGCAAACACTGAGCTTGGCCAGCTCCTCATACTGTTTTCATGCTGAATACAAAATGCCCAAYGTTCAAGCAATGCTATGAATCTTTCAAATACAGAGACATCTTCATGCATCATTGCCCACTGCATTTCTAACAGCATTAGAGAGATTGCATGGTGTGAGGGAGTCCTCTGAGAAATTGTATCCARCACTGAGTGGTACCATTAACACTCACTGTCCTGACTCACTGAATAAAGGCGCTGATCTTTATAGTAACAGATTTTCATCTCTGATGCGCATCTTAAAGGAAAAGACAACAGTTCTGAAAAACACCCAGTTCTTTCAAAAGCAGGCCTTGGTAAACAGAGTTGTACTTGGCCCAGTTGCTAATGGTGCTATATTTACTCTTGTAATGATTACATTGTCACCGCCCCAGATATTTCCCTATTGTTTTTTCATTTCAAAATGCAGCWGTATGTTGTCCTCTGCAGTCACAGCAGGTGACTGTTGTGTGTTTGTGATCATAGTACAAGCAGATACAGATTTGGGATCTCCAACATGACACTCTTTTCTCAAAGACCTTTACAGYAGCACTGTGGAGCATGACCGTCTTGTGCCAGGGCTGGCACTTCTGTAACACATTTGCATTTGCAGCTCCAAGTCAGACTTAGCAAGACACCATGTTGATCTACAAGTAAGAAAGTCACTTCCACTGCTGTTGGGTGTTAACCTCGGACATTTTTGTTCTAATCTCACACCTTGCTCTTGCCTTGGGTGCCAGCATATTAAGAACAATACTCTTGCAATGATCACTGGAAATACAACRAGCTAAGATTTTAAAATAAAGACTCGTGCTGGATTAAAAAARCATCAGGATTGAAATTAAAGCTGCTTGTATTTCTGCAGGAAATAATTATTAAAATGCAAATTGTCTTATGCATATTTATTTTGAGGGATAGCTATCAAATATCTGATCTTTTATGAGCTTGAACTGCAACTGTATCGATAAAAGAAGATTCATAGCATGCCTTAGTGCTGGGCTATCAAGCATAAATCAGGTTGTGTGTGAAAGCTTATCGCCTTGTCTGCACTGAAGTGTTTCCTTCCCCACACACACGTATGTGTACACACTGTTCCTGTTGGAGAGTCTAATACAATARCTAGTTACACTGGGTTTGAGGATTCCCATAGGATGCCCCTGCAGWACTGGAAAGCTGTGGGTTCTGAGGCACGTCACTGAAGGCTGTTTTTTCTTCAGCAATTACCTCATCCAAGGGAGATGAAGAATTTCAAGGCATAATTACARACTCTCTTTTCCTAAGCTTTTTGAATGATGATCTTTTAACTGGCTCCATTGTTTCTGTTCAGTGTTGTTTTCCATTTTCACCACAATTTCAAGATTAAAATTTAACCCCCTCAGAGGCACAAAGGCCTTTATTTTCCAAGTCAGATAAAAGTGACACACAACAGTTCTTTTCAGGGCCTCTGAGATGGGATGTGATGAAGCACTCTACTGGCTCTGGAAGAAGCAAAGAAACCAAACTTCTTGTTGGAAATGCACGGTGGAGTGATGTGGAAAATCAAACAGAAGTAGCAGAAATCACCTAACCAAATATCCCYCTCTCTTCTGGGAGACTAAATCCTGCATCTAGGAAGAATCCCTATCTTGAGCATCAGTTTTGTCACTTTCCTACTCTACCTGGATGGCAGCTGGTTTAAAGCCATTTTTCTCCTCATTTGAAGTCAGACTTTTCCTCTCACATACAAGCGCAGAGCAKGCCCTCCCCTCGAAACCCGTCAGAATGAGAGTATAAGAGAAATGGGTGTGGCAGCCAGAATCTGCCTGTGAAAGGTTGGTAAGGCAGCATTTCATGTTGGTCTTAGTGGAAGAAAGAGGAATTCAGAGTGTGCAGGTACAGGTMTCTCTCTGTTGTCCCAGKGATGTCAGTGGARCTGTGCTGTTGGCTCCAGTTCACCATGCTTGGAATGTCATCTTCCAACTGCTCCTTGGCAGAACAAGTCAATGGAAAGGAAATCTTGTACAGTGCATGTCAGCTATGGACTAATCACASTTTTTTTTTCTGTGGACTAAGAAAACAGCACCAAGGTCAGAAACAGCACTCTGCGAGTGTTTTCTCTGCTGTGTCTGGTTGACAGCAGCAGCCCCCTTGCCTTCTGGCAGAGCAGAAWTAGTTGTGGCACATCCTTACCCTTTTCTAGAACAATATCCTGTTCTGCTGGGGCCGTTATCTAGAGGTCAYTGTGGGGCTTGTGGTTCAGAGCAGGATACAGGGAAAGGAGGGGAAGGCTCTATRGCCATGTTAAACTCAGTGCTTTCTTAAGACAAAAATATTGCTGTAAGGGAGCAATGGTAGGAAGAGAAGAACAGTTTTGTACAATCCATCTTTGTTTCCCTCCCATATTTAATTCTGTTATAAATATGCAACACTTATGGGTAAGGGGGTTTGTTGTCTCCCTTTGGTTGAACCCAAATGCTGTTTGGGATTTGTAAAGGAGCTCTTTAAAAAAAAGATGAGGAAACAGATAACAATTAACAAGAACTGGCTGACCTTTTAACTATTCTTAAAAGTGTCTTTATACTATGTTAGAAGCTAGGTACTTGCCTTGCTGSTGCCTATAGGAGATTTTGCTGCAGCATCTGTTCAGTTAAAGTTCTARTGAAGGCTCTTGAACAGAGCTCAGATTAATTTTTGATAGATAGTCATCTGTCTACTTGCAGTGTTATTGCTGACAGAAATTAGTTTGAAAGAMGCATATTTAAAGAGCCAGAATTCTCTTGGTCAAAGGATAATATATTTGTCATAAATCATACCAGCTCCTTGAGAGATGCCTTTTCTCTAATAGGTATTTAGCTCATTTAAATTGGCTATAATGGTGTTACTTCTGAAATAATTAATTGTATATTTTTATGGAAAGTGCTTTATACCTTAAAATCAARGGTGGTAACAAAAAATGTCACCTTAAAGATACAAACAGTTTTCAGCGATACCAAGAGACTGCAGATTTCTCCTGAACACTGCAGCTTGGACATGCAATAGACAGATGTGTTGGTGGCTGTGTTTTCAGGCAGGTGCTGGCAGATGTTTTTCAGTGAGTGCRGGAATTGTGTGCTGAGCCGTTGTTGTGTACTTGCGTGCAATCATTGTCCTGCTATATTTAACTGAAATGTAGATCTTTAATCCAAAGTATGCTGAAGCCTCTGGGAATTCTTCCAGTTATTTAATGAGTTTTGGCATAGCCCATACAGTAATAAGCTGTTTTCAAAGAGTGAGTGATTTGCAGGATTAGGTTTTTGGATATTGTGGGCCAAAGTGAGCTCTAATTCCAGTGGGTACAATGTTAAAATCAAGCCTATAGAGCAACACCATGTTTAGCAGTGATTTGTATTGTGACAATCCATATTTCTTAAACATGGTTAGTGATACTTAGGGCAGGCTTTGACTAGTATAATTTTTTTTTTCTTAATCATTAATTTCCTTCTCAAGTTATGTCAAATTTAATTTAATTAGGAAGGAAATGARCATCTTTACTCTCAAAATGTAAAGGTTGAAGGAAAAGATGCTTCATTTTTGGGAGTTAGCAGCATAAGTTATGTAGGATTAGACTTGGCAGCTACATTAATAAACTATGTCTGTGTGTGCAAGTGTGCATATATATATGTATATATGTGAGTATATATATGCTAGACATGCACACACAGGTGTATATATTAAAGAAGAGTTAACCTGTGGTAGCACATAATGTTGAAATTCAATGTATACAAATGGCTTGGTAAGTATGCATCTGGGATTCAAAGCAAATGGCATTTTTATGTAGTTGCCTGGGTGTGGTGTGGGTTGAGGAAGCTTCAAAAGAGTAGTGTAAACATTTGCTGGAGACATTTGTATTGAAATAAAACAAAGGTCTTACCTTTGTGTGGGATTTATAAGGTAACGGCTGGTAGGAGAAACTATAAACCCCCACTTTTTGTGTATAGGAGGAATGATGGGATTGATGTTAGTCATTTGAGAGACGAGTCATTTAACTCCTTGTTGTTACTGGTCTGCAGGGAGGAACCTTGTTTTAAAACAGGCTTTTAAAAGACCTGTCACCCGGGTTCTATGTATTGCYGGTATTCGGTAGAGAAATTGCTTTGAGTTTCTTATTTTGTGCCATAACACACTCTTCCCTCCCTCCTGCCCTCGGCAGTTTCTGAGACAATGGGAGCCAGAAATGTAAATAGTAATAAAAGGCTTATATTAGAATTTTCGTAACTGTAGACCTTTAAAGTGTATAAGCTGAGAGACCGCAGCAGGAGTCATCTTGGCTGAATTAAATGATAAAAAGGGAAATGCACTTCTGAGCCTTGCTTTCTTTTAAGGCAGCTTATTGTGTTTGTGTCTTGTACATCCCTAATTATGCTGCAATGTTTAACAAACAGTAATTCACATAATAGCAGCTACACCGTGGAGGAGTGCCGTCCCCAAAAGAGAGAGTGCTTTTTCTAGACATGCTCTAYAGCAAACAGAAGAGTTGTCGCTATATTAGGCTGCTTGTGAAACTTTCTCAGCACCAAATGTTTCTCTAAATTAGTATTTAATTGCCGATGGCATGCCTGAGCTGGAGACTAGATGGGTGGAACTCTGCCATTAATTGCTCTAATCTAAGATATGCTGACATTTAAAAAAAGAGATATCACTATAACAACAACCTAAACGTGTTCCTGATAGCAAAACATTGCTAAAATCCAGTTTGCGCGCACACACACACACACACACACACACACACACACAATTTGTATCTGAATTCAGGTATTTTTATTAGTAATTTTTTATTAATGTAGTTCTTAGACAAATGTAGACAGGGCTTGGGAGGGAAACAGTGATTTCTGTTCCTGCTACTGTCATTTCTACTTAACTACATTTTCTAACCATGTTAATTCCACTATGCAAGAGACCATAGCAGGGAAGATCTTAAATGTGGTATCTTCTAAGGAGCAGCACTCCTTTTTGTGGCTGCCCCTGGAATTGTTCTGCCCCTCGTCTCACTGAGAGTGGGAGTACATGCATTATGGACAGGATTGGAGAACAGGGGGAAGGTGAGAGCTGCAAAGGGCAAAGCAGGCTGTGCTTGGACAGGTGGCTAAAATAATTCCCTTTCAGAGCAGGTCGCTGCTTTGGGGACATGATTTCTGGTCTGACCAGGGGAGAGAGAAGGGGACTGTCCAGATATTTCCTCAGGTCCCCTTCACCATAACAGCCTGCTGCACTGGTGCAAATCTTTAGTCATGCTAAGAAAAAAAAGACCCTAAAATAAACTCAAATAATAGAACCTATGTCCTCTTCCCTTTCCTTCTATACACCCTCCATATCTTCCAAATCCAAAGTTAGTGTTGTGCTTTAAGGAAAGCTAATAGAACTTTGCATGGAGACAGAAAATTTCCCCAGTATGAATGATCTGTGTTAATTTGAATCCACCTGTCTGTCTGTAAGATGCAAATGATATGAGAGAAAATATAGTACACTTCATGTGCATGAATGTACAGTCATTGCTCCTCAGAGAGATCCTGATATATTACAGTGTCAGGACAAGATATTGAGTCTTACAGATCTATCTATTATTCATGCTGAATAATCTGTTATTGCTATATGGGGACTCTTGAAACGATAGTCTGTCTTCCCCAGCTGCTCCTACTCTSCTCTGTGATTGTGGAGGCAGTGAAAGAGATGACACAGTGTATGTAGTTGATTAAGGTGGGACAAGATCTTTTTTTGCTTTGCAGCTGAGTGTGCAGCAAAGATGGGAGATGTACAAAGTGCTAGGTAGCTGCAAAGCCTGCATGTCTTCTCACGTTTAAATGTACGCTTTGGAAAATCCCTGTGCTGCAGTATGGTCTAAAATACAGGGAGAGCAGATTCTGTTTTATGCTAGACCTCATTCCACTGCTGTGTGTTCACACACACTTTAAACCATTGCCCGGACACTAGAAAGTTCTGAAGGCAAATGAAAATTCAGGCTGTCATATTTCAAAGGTGTATTCGACGGTATCTACACTTACCTTTGGAGCTGGAGGAGATCAGCTTGTAATTTGAAACAGAAATAACACTATCAGCTTCAAAATCAGAGTTTCACCTAGGGCCTTTCCCTGCCTCCCTCTTCTCCCCGCAGTTAAAGTTCAACTATTTCATTTGTAAATGCAGCTCTGTGATACAATCAGAAGCAGAAAGGAGGGGCCATTAGCTCAGTCAGGCAAACAAGCTGCTCTGGCTCCATCATAAAGACCCTGACTGTAATGTTAACTTCTGCCAGGAGGGTAAAGTATCCCCCACCAGCCCTGCCGGAGCCCTTCTTTATTCTCAGCTGCCTTTCTTAGGGGTGTTGCATTCTGGTCACTTACACTGTGGGTTTATTTTCCCTGTTTGTGGAATGGAGGGGGAGGAGGGGGGGGTCCTTCACGCTCTTCCTTCACGAGTCCTTTCCTATCCCAGGGGCCTGCTGCCCTCTCCTTTGCCCTGTGAGGTGTTCATCGGGTCTGTTTGAGAGAYCTGTTTGGGATGTCTTCTATCAGAGTGTCCTTATTCTTCTGGAGCAGGTTTCACATCCTCCTGGTTTGGGAGATACGTACTGCCTGTTTTCTCTATCCTTTTCCTTGGTTCACAGTTTTGGGGGTTTGTTTGGTGTTTTGTTGTTGTTTTCTAAACTCAGGGAAAGTGAAAAGTAGAATCATGTTAATACTCAATTGCCCCGAATTATTATGTAATGCACATATTCCTCTCTGGGCTAAAAAGAAGATTTTTAATCTAGTTTCATCTCTTGAGTTTCATGCATGCCATCCTGTCTGAAAGCTATCAGTGGMATTTCAGTTCATAGTGCTTACTTTACATCAGAATAGTGCTTGGGAGACTTTATTGGTGGGAGATGCTTCTCCCAGGTCCTGAACAGATGAGACACACCATGTCCCATGGTGCCAAATGAGTTAAAGAGCTGGAGAGGATTTGGGGCTATCAAGATGTAAGTTTTGGTTGTAGAAGGAGAGCAAGAGATGGATTTCTGAAGCACAGGCAAGGAGGGGGCTTGCTACTTAGCTGGTTAAAGCATGATGCTGATAATGCCAAGGTTGGGGTTCCATCCCTGGATGGGCCATTCACTWAAGAGCTGGACTTGATSATCCTTCTGGGTCCCTTCCYGTTCAGATGATTCTGTCATTCTCTGAATGCAGTGTCAAGTTATGTGGATGCTGCATCACAAAGAGAACTTCTGAGAAGAGATAGGGAGTAGTTTTATAAACATTTGAGAAACTCTTTTCCAGTTTGAAAGACAGGGTGAGATGCATCTTTAAAATTGAGTTAAGACACTGAAGGGCCCTTAAAGTGAAACAGAGTAGTATCTGTTATTGGGATGGAGAGAGCAGAAGTGTTGATAAGAGTGTGAAGAAAATTTTTAAAATAAAAAAAAAGAGTAGAGTTTATCTTAGTGCCACTGAATTTGAATGGTGAGCTGTCAGAAGAACAAGCCATGCCCCAGGTGGCTGGAAAGCATGAAGCAAGATGATCTGTTCTAACAAATAGTGTAAACGTACAGAACAGGTCTGTAGAGTGGAACAAGTAAGGGCTAAAGACCTGACCTCCATGTGAGGCACATTTTAGGAAGTTTTATCTTAGATTGTCTTTACTCAGTTCCYGTGGACTAAGCAACTGTTAGCAGCTGGAGGATCTGAGGAGTGTTCCTAGAACACATTTTTTGGTCTGGCTCTTATGAAAAGAATCCTTTTCATGTATTCTGAACTCTCTGGAGTGAACCAAAGCACAGTAAGTTGGGACAACCGAATGATTCACCTTAAATGTGAACTTCTGATCCAAACTGAATACATGCCTTTCATGTTTGTCCTTCTTCCTAGCATGAAAATGTCTTTCCTAGACAGAAAAGAAGGATAAACGTATGAATTGCCAGAGAGTGCATCATAGCTGAATTAAACATTTTAATTTCATTTTCCCATTTCTTGTCATGTATTTCTGGAAGTTTAATTGTTGTTTGCACCACGTTTTAAAAGTAATCTTTCTGGCACACAGATTTTCATCACTGTGAATTGCCTGAGTACAGACTTCTCCTCTCAAAAAGGAGTAAAAGGGCTTCCTTTGATGATTCAGATCGATACGTACAGCTACAACAACCGCAGCAATAAACCTATCCACCGAGCCTACTGCCAGATCAAGGTTTTTTGTGACAAGGTAAGTGGAAAGCACAGTTACCATGGATGGAGGAGGAACCTTGTTAGGCAGTTTATTGTTGTTGTATTTTAGACATAATTAAATGTTTTTTCTTTCCTTAAGAAATTATATTTCCTCATAGCATTTGGACCAGCTGTATCACAAATAAACAGATTATCATGCAATTATTTTACTGCTTTGCAGCTTTTTTGCAGCCGATTTCTCAGCTTGTGACCAATAGTTGGGCTGTTAAAGGACATCATGTTATAGGTCATGATTCTTTAATATCAACAGCAAGTACAAACTTAAAGATCCCTATGTGGAAGGTCAGTGCTGATCACAGGCTCATGTAAATGGCAGTCTGCTGATATCATCCCTTCTAACTCTTCCAGGATAGGYAGCAGGTAAACTTCATGTCATTTTCTCTGATAGAAAAGTGAACTTTTTAGTGGAGGCCTGCTGTGCTCTCTTTTATGATGCAGTGGAAAACAGCAAATTCTAGTGACACAGCTATTTTTCCCCCTCCCTTGCATATAAACAGTTACTTTAGAAGCTTCAATGAGACTTTGATGTTGCTAGGATTTCCTTATCAAAAGTAAGCTACAAAAATATATTAGCCATTCCCATTTTGTTATTCAGTAACTATTTTTTGTTTGTGTTCATGCCCTCTTTAACAAAGTTTTGTTCTTTTACMATATGTATGACTGCTCCTTTGTGGGAACTAGTAAGATTTTTCTGCACCCAAACATAGATCATGCCCAATGAATTACACAGTGTCATGGTCAGCTGTGTATATCACCAGGTAGAAACAGTTGCTTAGAAATGTTATGTCATTGATTCCTAAAAGAGAGTGTGACCACTTTTCAGTTTTGTTTAGTGTCTGCCAGCTGATGACTTTATCCATGCTGAGAAAGATCTTTCATGGGGTAGCTGATGCCTGGATTCTAGTCAAGGTTCAGGGATTTAGGAGCCTACATCTATTTAAGTGACTTGGAAATTTATCCAAATTAGTCTTGCCATTCTACAGGTAGGAATAGAAAGACAAAAGGCCATGCCCCAGGCAAAACGTAACATTAACTTTTTAATGGAAAGGGTAAGAGTTCAAGTGTTTCAGGTCTCTGTTGCTGCTCCTTCCCCCTTTTCAGTTCATTCCCTTGTTGCTGTCTTGACAATGAGATCTTGAGGGCTAATCAGTCAGTTGTGCTAGTGGAGGAAAATYTTTGCAAGTAATGAATGTAAATGTATGCACTGTGGTCTTCTTGCAGCCAAAATGCTATGCTTTTAATTGTAACTTTGAATGTCAAATATTGAGAGATTTAAAGCTACAGCTGGATGTTAAAAGCTCAGTAAATATCAAAGTAACAAGTCATTTTCATCCACCTGTTCCTGAAGAGCAATTAGAAAAATTTGAATTATTTAAAAAAGGAAGAAATCCAGAGTACAAACTCATCAAGGGTGACCTCTAGATACAACTGGTGGAGATTTTGAATAATACATGTTAATTGCATCTATTGGCCTAATTGGTGCTTCAAATATACAGACTAGAAAGCAGGAAATTAATGTTGAGTCTATTAATCAAGCTGTCTCAAAGTAGATGGAAAGATCACAGGGACAGTTAAAGTGTTATACACATCAGAAGTGGGAAGTGGGAACTGAGGGGCTCAAGGGTATTGATAATAGGCTATATATCTATTTAATATAAATGAATACTCACATATAAAGCTTTTTAACTTAACACAGGTATGAAAATGAGTTGAGTGAAATTATGAGTTGAATCAAAATTATCRAGGTCAATTTACATAATAGGTTGTGCTAACTGGCACTTGGTAAGAGATGAATTCTTGCTTTTCCCCAAACTTATGCTGCCAGATATTTACCAACATCCCTTCATCACAGGGCTTTTGCAAGCAAAAAAGGGGAGAATTTCCACTTGCTGGTGGTGATGGGAGAATTCATCACGCTCAGGAAGGTAGTTGGTGTGGCTGGGTATCTTCATGTTTCTAAGACGTCAAACTCCTGGTTCTGGTTAAGGTGGTGCAAAATGCTTGAGTTTCTCTTGCTAGCCTTTGATTGGCATCCAGTGACAGGGACATGGCTTGCTGCTTTTAAAAGCYATGAAGCTGAGASAATTATKTATTGCCCACCTCCTTGCCATGRTCAATTAAAGAGGTGCTATAGGACCATTTAAAAAACCCCAGCAAACATACAATGATCTTTATAAATTTTGAAAATGAGAACTGCACCATTATGCCCCAGTCTGACAATCTCAAGGAGGAGCTGATGAGAAAAGTACCTGATTTMTTACAATCACCTGGACTAGTGGAACTGCACAGTAAATTCTTCCTGCCTAAGTATGAAATGCATTTCACTTTGGAACATGGAAGAAAAATTGTTTCTGTGCTTGAAATGTTATTACAAGTGGGTTTTTTTTCTGCAATGGTGGTGCCTCTTTAGGGCCAATAGGTATATTTGTATATTCAGTTAGATAAATCACAGGTGGAGGTGTCCAGTTTTTAAGAACATTCGCTGACAAATTAATGTCTTACAGCTGAAATACAGYATAGTTGTTGTGGAAAGAGTTATCCTTGAAGAAATAAAACTGCATTTAGCTAAGTGGTACATATTATATATATTTTAGTATTTATTCTGGCAATTGCTTAATTTTCATTTTAATTTACATATAAACTAGAGAGCAATGCCAACTCAGATCCAGTACATGCTTTGTGACATAAATATATGGAGATAAATGCTGCAAAGGTTGTGAATGTGTCCTTACTCCCTATTCATTCTCCAGTCTTTAGTCCATGTCTATTTTCCAGTAGGCAGTCTTCAAAGCATTTGTTACRGTCCACATCCTGTTTTCTCAGTGCTAATTCTCTGTCCCTGCAGTCCTTTTTTCTGCAGTGATGTGCAGATCACTGATGCTACATTATAAGAATATGTAATTTTTATTCCTTAAGTAGGTTGTCAGGGAAACTTGTTACCAGGCCTATTTATAATTATATATTGCACAGAGCTCTAGCCACTGTGTATGGAGGAACTGGGACTTCAGAGATATTTGATTTTCTACATATGATTATCTTTGCTGAAAAGAAGCAGAAGTGTTTGACTTGGCAAATATCATAACATTGTTCCAAAAAAAAAAAAAATCCAGTTTTATTTAATCTGAAAAAACATGTATGTTCTTTGGAATATATGCAGTTTTTGCATCCTTGTTTTTGGTATAGAAYATCATAGAGAAAATGGACTATCATAGAGTACTGAGCAACTCTGATTGTCTATTAATCTTCAGCTCTGGAGAGAAGGCTGAAGTCTATGTGCCTGCCCAGCAAGATGTGGAATGCTGAAGCCTGGAATTAGAATCAAGTGTACACATGAGCTTTGTAGCGGTGATGGGAGTGGTCCTTATGATGKCAAGGGCTTTGCCAGGCTGGAGCAAAATTTAAGATTAAATGAGTTGAAGAATTAAGAAGACAATAGTTTSAATCAGCTGAAATTCATATGCTGCATTTTGCTGATGATTTGTAGCAGAAGTACTCCTTGTACAAAGCCCGGATATCAATGAAAAAATTAAGAACACATCCATTATTTCACTGSTCAGAGCACAGTTTATAATCCCCTGTAAGAGGGTTATTTCTTTTTCTCTCCTGAAGAGATATGCAAACTGTGGTTTATCAGATATGTGTCAGATGGCTCAGCTGTCAAAACTATGCAGCAAAAATGCTCYAGAATGCAAAAATGATGTTGTGGTCCATTGTCTCACCCCATCATGTAGGCTTGGCTCACATGTGCCATGTGGGTTGCTCCAAGCTCAAAAGGGCTGGTAGGTAGTTCTGTAGGTATTGCAGTTGCCACATTTGYCAAATGGCTGTGGCACAAATAACTGGAGGATGGGAATGGCTGCCCAGCTCAGGGATTGCCGGCACCCAGAGAACTTGGGGTGTGTTGTCTTGAAAGAATGAAGGAAGAGAAAGCCATGAAACTTTATCAAGGTCATGTTTACAAAGAATGTTACAGAAAATCAGTAAAGCATGTATTTTTTATTGTGTATAAAAGGCTGAGTCCTCCTCAGTTTCTGCTTTCCTGGGAGGAAACTGGTGCCTGTTGCTACATATGAAATACTTCGGTGGTTCATCCTGTTCCCTGTGAGCAGTGGAGTGGCAGCATTGAGTGTCAGGAAGGGCTGTGGCCACCTGGCAGAGCCCTTTGTGCAGCACAGGTTTCTGAGGATGTGCTTTCTGCCGAATGGTGGCTGTGACACGTATTTTTGCTCCTTTCTTAGAAAGAACAGGTGGTCTTTAATGTTACAAATGTACCCCTAGAAACAAGTTTGAGAGCACAGCTCTGAATCCTTTGGCTTCTGTGGTTGAGGCTGGTGAGTAACAAGTGGACTGGGACCTGGTCTGGAGGCAGTGTTTCTGTTTGACACGTTCATGTTTTTCTAAAGGGCTATTTCTTCCTCCAGCTCTTTCAGACTCTGGAAATCTACTGATAGATCATAACCAGGGGTATATCTTTCCTTATATTCTTTTTAAGCCTGGTTCATTGACTCGTGTGAATTTTGCCATCTTGAGTGGGTATTTTTTGCTTTCCTTACCTCCTCCCCCYGCTTTCTATTTAAGAAACTTCTAATTTTAATTTTGAAAAAARTCTGTAATCTTACATGCCAACTGTCTGGGAGCATATGGATCTTTATTACCCTTCACAATGTGACGAGTATTATTTATAAAGTAAATTAGGAGAACTTCAAAGGAGGTGTTGCTGCTTTTTATATCAATAACAAGTTTTATTTTTTAAACTTGTTGAGAACCGTATTTACATAACAGAAGACTGCAGCTTCCCAGGAGATCCTGGTGCCTAATAGGGCAGTGCTACATTGCTTTCCTATTTCTGGAGAGCTTCTCCTAGTTTAAAATGCTTGGATTTTTCTGTAAGAACCCTTGCAATGTTGGCAAGCTGTCAGCACAGCCTTCTTGGACTGTCAGTTCTTAAAAGCTCTGCACAGCTGGCTACAGTGGAGCAATGCCATCCCCAGACAAAGTAGGTGGAGGAGAGTTTAGGGAAGACCTCAGCACAGACATGATGTAAGACGATAGCAATCCTGCAGGTGTTTTAAACCATTACATACCCAAAGTATTTGGCCTGAGCACTCTGTCCATTGCAGAGACACTGGGCTTGGGATGCCCTWTGCACAAGTTGTGCTGGCAGCAGTCCTGCTGCAGGCTGCACACTGCCTGTCCTGGCTCCTCCAAACCAGCATGTGGATCTGTTCCCCTTCTGTCTGCAGCCCTGGGAGCTACTGGGTGTGCCAGCCTGAGTCAGGCACAGGTGATCGATGCAAAGCTGGTACTGTCCCAACAGACTGGACAGATATATCTTCAATGGAATAACCAGTTTCTCTTTTCATGTTTCTGATGTGCCTGTTCCTRTAGTTCCAGGCATTGTAGAGTACAATGCTCACAGTGGTTCCTCTTTAGGTAATATTTGTGAGTTGTCTTTTTTACATTAGGGAGCAGAAAGGAAAATCCGAGATGAAGAGAGAAAGCAGAACAGGAAGAAAGGCAAAGGCCAGGCATCCCAAGCCTCATGTAATAACGGTGAGTAAYGCAGGCCTTTCTGGTCTGGGGCTAAGTCATGCTTAACATGCCTCCTTTCACAACTATRTGCTTTGTGATCCACCTAGCAGCTGAAGGCAAGCTGAGTGCACTCCCTCTGCAGAAAAAGAGTGATATCACCTTCTTCAAAACAATGGCTGACCTGGATTCCCAGCCAGTTCTCTTCATACCGGATGTTCATTTTGGAAACCTCCAAAGAACTGGACAGGTAGGAAATAATGAGATGAGCTGGTGCCCACTTGCCATCTGGCTGCCTCTGCTCTAGGGCAGACTTTAGGGAAATAAATCACTGTTACTGGGGGCCTCTTGTTTCAGCTCTCATTGTGGTAAATGCCATTTTGGCATTTCACCTGTAAAAGACCTTACAAGAGACAAGTACCTTTGTGAGTTCTGGTTGTGAAAAAGTTTATAATTCTTTGACAGCTGACTAGTTTGTTTATGTTACAGCTTTGCCATTCTTTTGCAAGGAAGAAAGAATGAAACAAATAGTCAAGAATTTTTAAATAGAGGGTGGATTTGTGACTGAAACAAAATCTGGTTTTGAGTGTACTCTTTGGCTTGGTGATWCGAAGTGCCACCTTGTGGTAGCAGAGATCCCCCTCCCTATCACAGCTGAAAAAGACCAAGCTCTTACAGGTGTAGGAAGGTCAAGAGTAGGGTCACTGAGCACCACTGCCCATTTCCTGTCGGCATCACCTAGGGATCTGGAAATTSCTTGAAAAAATATTTTCCCTCTTCCAAGTAGAACTCCATCATACTAATGTTAATACTCAGTATTGGCAGTTATTACGACCAGTAAATATAAAGAAGTCTTTGCTGACTTAACTCTTTTCTGTTTTATCGCCGGCTGGAAAGTTGAAAACCTGAATTGGAGGATCAGCTCTGACTACTTTTTTACTGTGAACCTTTTATTTGTTAGCATCTCGGGGAGTAGAATGAGACCTTTATGCATATGTTTTTAAAGATAAATAGTTGATGAGGAAGTTTAATATGCATCATGCTGCAAAATAGTAGAATGAGTAAGATTAAATGAAACTGAGTGTTGGAATTGTCAATTATTTTGAAGCAGTGAGTGTGGTAGAGCAAGGCACAAAGAGCGTAGACATTGCAGTCGCAGCTGTCACTGGCTTACTCTCTCGAATTGGAAAGACGCCCACTCACACATCAGTGCTGGGTACCTTCTGTCCTCATGGCTTTCAAACCAGAATGTGGATTTGTCTCAAAACAAGAGAAGGTGGAAGCATTCCTTAGTATATGTAATCCTGTAAATMATTTTCTAAACTAACTGGAAAATACCCCATTTCCTAGCTCTTAGGTAATGTTCAGCCATGTCTTTCATTGCTGTAACTCATAGTTGCAGACCTCAGCTTAGCACATACACACCTCTGAGCTATTTTCATTGCACAGGTTCAGAAGTGAAGGCTCCCAGTGAGAGCTGAGTGTGCTCTGAGTCTTGGCAGCAGAGTGTTGGAGACCCACCCACTGTGGCTTTTGCCCAGCAGGACAGGCTGCTCACCCTGTGCCCCCACCCCACACTTGCATTGCAGCTCAGCAGCTGGAGGWCTGCACTTGGTGCAGACCTGCAGAGAGGGCGTGCTGTGAGGAATTTGGCTAACTTCTGTAAAGTTTTGGACAACCATGATTTTATACCTCCCCTGCTACTGTCAGCCTCATTTGCTGCTGTTGTCAGTTTGGTCCCAGTGACTGAGTTATATGGATTTACACAAAACTGGACTTGGGCTTCTGCCCACAGCCTGTGCAAAAAATGTTCAGCTGTACCATTAGTAATTGGATTCCCATTAGGCCTGTAGTTTAATCTTGTTCTTTATAGTTTAATTAAATTTTCAGACAGTATTAAATACATACAAAAGCTTGTGAGTGTTGTGGTTTAAACTGTATTAGGGGTAATTTAGGTGAGTAGTGATCTGATTTAGAGGACTGTAAAATAATTGGGGAAAATGATATAAACCAGGGAAGGGGAGCATGTCTCTCGAATATACTTTGATGTATTTCCACTAGATGCTGTTCAGCTGTAGTTTCTCTAAGCCACGCTTTTTCCAGATGACAGTTAGAACTAGAGGTGTTTGTATTTTATAGAAGGAAAAGGATGTTTAACATTGCAAACTGCAAAACACTTGTTGTCTTTTCTCCCTTTTGAAGTCATTCTGTTAAGCAAATGTCTAAGTTTTGGGAATAACAGATTTTTATTTCCATCCTTCTAGGTTTACTATAACACAGATGACGAGAGAGAAGGGTAAGACATTTATTGTTTCACAAGCTTTGCACTTAAGAGTTCAAACTCATAAAAAGTCGATACAAAATGAAATCAGATAAAACTGATCCCCTTTCTCACCCTTCCCACATGTTCTCCCATGTAAGCTCTCTAGTTTTTAGGTCTGTATTTTAATACATTTCCAAGTGAAAGAGCCCTAAGGTTCAATACAGGGGCAGGACAATAGATTTGATAATGAAATGCTGCCTATGTGAGCATAAGGGCTCTTAAATAATTTAAAAGCTAGGAATTTTTTATTGAAGCACTGAACTTTACTGCATTCCTGAAAGCTGTTTAGCAGTGGTCTCATGTGGATGCAACAAATACAGGAACTGCACAGAGAATGGCCAAGTGCCAGAAGAGAAAGGCTGAAAGAGAGCAGAGAATCTGGGAAGGAGGAAGGCTGGAAATGGGAGTGCCCCCTGTCTGACTTAGGAGGGACTGGAAGAATTGATAGAAGTCTCTCTATTATTTATAGATGCTGTGAAATAAGGGTTTTARTACGGATGGCTGAAATTCAGGCCACAATGTGTGCCAGCCCCATACTTTTCGAAGTTGTTTGAATCCCAAGTGAAYRCCCTCAAGTCTGAGATTCTGGTAAMATAACYRCACTCCCATAAACCTTCAGAAGGTGGCCTGTGATAGGGAGTGGCTGAGCGGCTGCAGTTGACATTGACTTGAAAACATGAAGCCCTTTAAATKTCTTTTTGAAACGAATGTTATTCATAAGGCTCACAGTGGAATTTGAGAAACAAAGGGGTTTATTGCACCAAGCAATGACCACCCCTCTTCCCTCAATATTTAAACAGTTAAGGGCCTTTGGGGCTTTCAAATTAGTGTGTAACATCGCRACATATTTTCCTGTCACCTGTCCCAGCCAGTCAATCTCGGCAATTTAAGAGGCCTGGATACTTCAGATAAGCATCAAAAGCTAAGTTCTTGTAGTTTCTGCTTTTGGTGCTGCTTGAGCAGCTAGTGGATATTTTTGCCAGAATACGAAGTGAGTCATGATGGTTGCTGTTGTCTCCTCTTCTGCTGTGAGCAGTTTTACTGTGACATGGTCCCTGTTTTGTGTATTCTAGCAGCAGTGTCCTGGTCAAAAGGATGTTCCGGCCTGTGGAGGAAGAGTTTGGTCCCTCCCCTTTGAAACAAATCAAAGAAGAAGGTCTGAAAAGAGGTAACAGTCAATTCTTAGCAGTTAAAAATAATACTGTGGGACTCAAACCCTAAGTTGGGAAGGGCAGGTGTGGCTTGGACAGAGTCAGTTGCTGGATGCTCGTACAAATATGGGTAGATGGGAGAAGAGATCTTTGCATCTGCCAGTCTACAAGGAGGCATTTTAACAAATACTAAAAACTACTTAAAAGCAGAAATAAAAAAAGAGTGTGCTCTCTCAAGCAGGGATCAGGACACAAGTGTGTATAAAAAAAGCTAGAAAGTTTCTTGGTAGCTTGGTAGCTTTGTAGCTTGGTCCTTGGCCAAGCTACATAGTTCATAAAAGTTCCAGTAGCAAATCTGTGATGGTCTATTTTTAACTTTTGCTCATCTTTTCTGTCCTGTCTGGGATCACAAGCAAATACACAAGATGCACTGGGTCAAATGCAGAGACCTTAACAGGCAAGCTCCTGCTGACTTCAGACTTAGATTGGCTGGAATAAAATCTCTGTAATTTCCTATCCTATTAGAAATATGAGACATGGAGAAACATCTTCCATCAGACCCAACTGAACTGTTTAAGATTTTGTTTCCCTTAGCTGTTTTTATTGCCCAAGTGAGTATTATTACAGTTGCATTTCATWAACTCTACTACCTCCTGTTTTCCAGTCTGCTGCGAGTGAAGCTTAGGTTGAATAACATTGAAGTAACTGTTTAGGTTGAGCTGTTAAACTTTGCACTGAAGGTGGTTTTGTCCACAAAATCTTTTTTGTGTACAGTCACTTCCAGTGCAGTGGCATTGGTGATAACTTCCTACTCTGTCACAATTAAACACCCTGGAGAATATTTGCCATTCCTTCAGTCTCATGAATTTTGTCATGTAAGTTTATTGAAGGCTCCAGGGCTTTGACAAACTTACGTAACTCAAACTTGCAGGTATTTTGAGGTTCACCCATTAGGTTGTGAAATGACAAAGCAAAAAGGTACAGACATGCAATTGGTTTTTCTTAGTTGCACCATTTCTAAGACTGCTTTGAGCTTTATGGAAATGACTTCCCACAAACACACATTTGCAAAGTTTCTGTGTTGTTTAGCGTGGTGTGCTTGAACCAGGGGAAGCGAAGAAGATGGATGAAGACAGGTATCTTCTTGAAATAAATGTGAACATGTGATTCTTTTAATTAAATCTTCAATTAATTATGTGASATCAGCACTGACCACTGACGTGCATTTGGTTGACTCAAGATCTTGGGCAAATTCACATTATCAGGGCTCTGTCAAGCAGAAGAGGACAGCCACAAGGGTTACATAAAGAACTGTAATTTCCTACAATTTCACCTGGGTTTCCTGCAAGGAGGTGTTGCTGTTCTTTGATTATTCCTGYCTTTTGCCGTGGTTAGTTGTTTTAATGCCATCCAGGACTTGCAAGAATTTCAAGGGTAAGATTAGAAAGAAAAAAAAAACCATTCAGCTGGTGGCAAAACTATGTAAATTGATTAAATCCAGGAGAGGCACAGAACCAGAGAAGCTGGAGGATGCTCTCTTCACATCCCCTTCCTGTTCAGTGTTTCTCTCAACTTGGACTATGCTGGCTGGAGGCCAAGCCTTTTCCAGCACGGCCTTTGCTCTGATGAACTTCCTGCCATCCGGAACCCTGCATATGGGGTTGTGCTGATGGAGTGCAGCTCAGCTGAATCTGCCCATTYGATAATGCTGTCTTTGCCAGAGAATTCACAGGGTATTAAAATGTTTTGGGTCTTTTTATTCCCCCAGCTTTGACATATTAGAAGATTATTTTCTCGAGATTTATTTGGTACAGCAGAATCAATAACTCCTAGACAGCAGACAGAGATGAGGCAGTGGTGTGATGTTTGAGAGAGAGCAGGTCTGATATGTGAAAATATACACAGTATATTGAAAGTAATGTGGTAGCATTACTAAAAACGATGTAATCCCACGGTGTCTCATTAGCAGAGCAGTGCAGGTAAGTAGCAGCCAGTGAGGTGTCCAAGCCCTGCTGAAGAACTGAAGTGAAAGTGTGTGGTCTCACCTCTGCCTGCTGGACCTGCTTGTAACACTGGTGAAAGTAAAAATATTAAGGGGCAGTCTTCAAGAGAACAAGTCAAAAGTTTGTTTGCAAATAAGGTTCATATTCTCACTCAGGTGGCTGCCTCTTTTTGATTTATTCTTTCATTTCTTTGACCTCTAAGGGAAGTGCAAGTACCCAACACAGAAATGTGAAGTTTGTTAAACTGTACCAAATGTGAAACACAGCTAGTTACTTGGCCTTTTCCTGTTTTAAGTTCTCAGTAAGAGTTTTCAAATCACTTTCCCTTTCAGATTTCATAGGGAGTTTCCCATTAATTATAAATCTAGCAGCTGAGTTATGGATCCAGGTGGATTTCCAGTCCTGTAGTTCTCAACTTCAAGAAAGCAATTTTTTGTCTAGCTTTTGTCTCTTAGGAAGGTCATGTTAAACTACTCTGAAACATTTTGGATGCATAACAGTCATGGGGATTGTGAGCCATTCCTGTAAAGGGCAGCATTCACACTGTCATCAAGGGAACTTGTGCCTGGGTAATAATGAAAACTCCTAATGTGAGAAAGGAAAGCCAGGTTACAGCTACCAGCCTTTCTTTCTTTGTCTAAAATGTGCCATATCTCTATCCAGAGACACTTAACAGAGACTGTAGTCATTGTTCATAGGGTGTCAGTCACAGYGTTGGTAGTGCCCAGGCTGAAACCTTCCTAATGTCCCAAGTCTTGCTGTCTTATTGTGTCCTTTGTTTCATTTTTCCACGTGCATGTTGTTGTATACGATTTTAAAAGCGGTGTCTARCACTGTTATTCTGCATTCACACATAAATCCTCATTTCAGTGGCCTGGCTTCCAAAAGTCTCGCTGGTGCAACAACATCCCTTGCCTTCAGCAAAGGCTGTTTGCCCCTCTGCAATTTGGTGTATTGGGGCTATTTCTTAAGTAACTAAAGATAAATTTATATCCCCCCATCTTTTGCAATTCTTTTTAACATCTAAAGAATATTAAGATCTGCAGTTGATTTCAGTGCTGGCAAGAAGGTTARGAAGTAAGACCAGGTAGTAGGTCAGACAAATCTGAATTAATCTTTTAACTTTCAGTCAAATAGCTCATTACTTAGTACAAAATTTCCCCCCTGTTGCCTCTCAAGTCTTACAATCTGAACTGTTAGAGCGAGCCCATCTAGATGCCATGAATGTGGTGACAGTAGGATCAGAGGACATGAGCTGTGTGCATGGTCACAGTCATTCAATGGCAGTGCTGCTGCTGAGCCCAGTGGAGCCTTTGCAGCCCTTTCCCTCCCCTCTGGCTGTGCCTCCTGCTGCAGCCGCCTTTCCACTGCTCTGCCAGCACAGAGCCTTGTGGGGCTGCATTGTACTCGGAGACAGGGATCTGATCTATTTGAGGAATAATTAAAAAAAAGGGTTGTTTTTTCACTCACATCTGCTGTTCCAGAGAGTTCATTATTGAAGAAAATTCAGTGAGATGAGCCAGAGTGAGAGATCCTAAGGGCAGGGATGAGACAGGGGCTTCCTAAGGCATCGATTCACCAGAAATCATTTATGGAAAAGTGCTCTACTGAAGGAAAGCCAGGATTTTGATACCTGTTAGGGTAAAGTAAAACCCAGCCACCCCCCATGTTTACTCATGCTGGCTCTCTGTGTGTATAATGGTGATTCAGGTTCACTGTTATCCTTGTAATAGACSCTTCATTCCCATAATGCTGMAGACCAAGCACAACAGAGAGATTTMAAGCTCAGTACTGTGATTTGCATAGTGTAATGTCCCCAACTTTAACCTTGGACCAAGTGATTTTTTTTGCTCTTTTCAGATATGTTTGTAATTGTTAAGGCTGGCAGAGCTCCCGATGTTTGTAAAGCCAGGAGTTACAGGACAACCCTCTTGTCACAAAGAAAAGTATTACTAAATTAATATAAGTGTTAGTATTGGTAAAATTAGCCCTTTGTGTGAGTTCTTGCTCATGCAGTTAGACATACCAGGCATGGTAAAATTTAACCCCTGGTGTGGAATTTTCTTTTCTTTTACATTTTGACAGTGAAGGTTGTGATGCAAAGTTTTCTCAGAGACTAGGTTCATTAAAAGGACATTCTCAGCCAAGGCCCCAAAGAGTTGCTAAAATACAGGTGAAAAAGATGTGGCTCTGCATGCTGTGGTAGTAGTTTTGTGGCTCGTATTTCTGATTTGAAGATGCAAAAACCCCAACATTGTCCTGCATGTTTGGTTTGTAGGCCAAGTCAGGGACTGAACTACCCATGGCTTTTTYCCAGTCATTTCAAAACCTGGGCAAAAAAGCTACAATTCTCTGCAAATGGGCCTGGGTCTACCCTGGCTACAGTCTTGGCCTGAGAATTAACTTCTAAACAATTGCTTCCACATGAAAAATACCATCATATTTTTTGTTTCATCTGCATGACATCTACTGAGTCACCTGGTGAATATATCTTTTGGACCGCGAGAACCTGGATTTTCAAAAGATGCCCTTTTCTGTCTATCAAAAAGAAAAATAATATATGATTACCAATGTAATTTGTCATACAGATGTGACAGTGCATGTGTATTTGTACCTCATGTGCAGCACTGCTATTTGAAAAGGCAGTTTATTTAGGAAACAAAATAAATCGCAGAACATCTTATTTAACCTGCTGTTTATCAATCATATAAGATGATGCCCAAAACACTTTTCTAGTGTCTATGCTTATATGCTTTGTAGCTGTTGCCATGTTGTAGCAAGTTTCCTCCTTTTACCTATACAAGTATGAAGAAGACAAAAGCTAGAGAGGGCAGGGCACTGTGCCTGTRGACAATTAACATCTAGCAGGGCATGTGAGGGAGGAAAAGGAACAGAAATGGCATTTGTGTGCCTAAGCAGATGGGCACACTGGTAAATGCCTGCCTGCCAGCTGTGCTCTTGAATGTCTCCCCTGTAAAGTCTCAAATTACTTTGAACTCATTTTTCCCGGTGTTTATTTTCATACTGGTCAGGCCATTTTCAGTCATCTGCATGGTAATGTCAGAGAGAACGATTTCTTTACCTTTTCTTTGATTTAGCTCTCAAAGACACAGCTAAACCTAGACTTCCTTTTTCTGAATGTCCTTTCCCAGCCTTTTAGACGAAGCCAGGAAAGGTACAAGCCAAGACGGAGGTTTAAGAAGACTTGGCTTGTGTGTTTTGTCCTATGAACAGGGGACGGGGTTCCAGTGCTTTTTAGCTTCTTTCTGTAAATGGAGATTTAGATTCAGGAAGACAGAGATTCTTCACATTARATTAAATTTGCTGAATTTTCAGTACTGTGTTTTCAATGCAACTATGATATATTGTCCATATCTAGATCACTGATACTAAAAGTACATTTTTTTGATGCAAACCGTCTTCAGTGCTTCATTTTATCGGTAATGGAGTCATATTTGTTTTTGTGTTTAGTGTGGGATTCATTTCTGTACATTTCATCTGTGCAATTAACTGAACTTGCTCCAAGTTTGTTTTTTTTTTCTATTTCAGTGCTTTTGTATGTGAGGAAGGAGACAGATGAGGTATTTGATGCTTTGATGCTGAAATCACCCACAGTAAAGGGGCTAATGGAAGCWGTAAGTATCCTATGTCCTCACACTGTTTGTTTGTCCTTGCAAGAAAATCTTGAGGTATTCCATGTATTATTGAGATAAACCATAATATAAAGATGAAGTTATTTTCAAGTGCATTTAAAGCATTTCTTAAAGGCTTTCTGGAGTGCAGCTCTGAAATGCTGGCACGTTCCTAATTCAGKGTTGTCAGCAGGTTACTGGGATTAAGCAGTATCACAGAGGTGATTACTGGGAACCTGAGCTTTGATGAATAACGGTAGTTAACTGCTAGTAGTGTCAGGGAAGRAGTGAGGTGCAAGCTTAATTTTCTSAGCTGYTTTTTCTRAATGGATGGTTTAGAGCCTGTTGRATCTTTAMMTGTAATCTCATCAGTACATTCCTAGCCTGGTGTCCAAGAAGAGGCCCAARGATGCACCATTTCTGTGTGAGTTTCACATAGTCTTTGTGCAATTGCCATTCAGTAAGAGGCAGCTGCTGAGCCAGTGTAGACTTGTCATTCATATGTTGTCTSAAATTCCTTCTCTAGCCCTCACTTACAGCGTGACCTACCTACCAGTTGCCTCTTTGCAGCTTCTTTGAGTTGAGTTTTTGCTTGTTATCCCTTAGTCTTCGTAAGAGTTGCTATTTCCGTATTTAATCTTGTTTATATGAGCTGATGACTCATGAAATTCGGTAAGGGAAGAGTTAAGAAATAATCACATATCTCACTGCTTCGTGGGGGAATATGAGATTAACGTGTGGGATGCTTAGTTGATTTCCAGCCTTGTTTACCTGTGGGGGAGAAGATGGAAATTCATGAAAGTGTCACTAGAGAACCCAGCCAAGTGCTGGAAGTGTGTATATTCATGCTCTTAAAACTGTCACAGTATCTTGTTGCATGTGCTGAACACTTTATATGCAGTAAAGATTGAGTTATTTGGTCAATCTTTGGCCAGTAGCAGAAGGCTGAAAAAGATTTGTGGTTTAGTGAAGTTCTGTAAAGTACGTGTTTAGATGAAAGTATCTCTGAGGAGAGTCAGCAACACCCTCARGATGTCCTAACTGTGCTTTTGCCAATGCTGTTTGTTAGCTGGGGCTGCAGCTCAGTTGTCAGGCAGAGCACATGTATAACAAAAACCAGTCTTTGTTTGAAGAGGCTGCACACTGATTCATGGTAAGCTGTAAYGTGATTTCATCTTGTCTTTGTATGGAAGTTAAAAGTACCTCATAATCCTTCTATAACAATTCAAGCTAGCATGAGTATTTTATCTCCAGTAGTCTGTGCTTCTCATTCCTGTTCTTCAGCCACCATGTAACAAAAACAAAGCTGGTGCAGAAGCAGGAAGGGCTTCTGCATACCTCAGTCAGCACAGCTGCTGACTCACTGGCATGTTTTCAGCACCAGAGAAATCTAATCTGTTGTAAAATGTCCCAGTTCACTGGAAGGAACAGATTCAGAAAATTTTAATTCTCTTCGGTAGGATATTGTGGATAGAACAATGCCAAAAATCTGTCGAAGTGCATATTCTTAAATACTCTCTCTACAGCCATTGTAGCAAATCATGCAATTTTGTAATTGTGCACATCCTAAATGCTCAGTATTAAGTTCAGTAATAAGAATTTAGTAACTGGGTCTCTGAGTATTACAGAGCCCCAGACATGAAAGAGAGCTTCAGTGGWCCTCAATCATATCTTCATTCTCTGTTTATGTATTTTCCTTTTTTTCTTCCTTTTGTTAGTCACTATTCCTGGTCTTTGACATTTTCCTAACTTTCTGTTATTAATGATATGGTTTTCTCAGATCCTATGTTTATTTTACTCTGACATATACCTCCATTCTAAATGAACACTTAGATTCCTTCTCAGATATCTTTCTTTTGGCAAATACTGGAGGTCTTTGGTTTCAGAAATACAGCACATYTCAGGAAGCCATGCAGATATTTGGTTTTCACTAATCAGTCTTGATCAACAGAAAATAGCAAAACAKTTGCTCATCACAAAGCATCACACATATGTGGTGACTGACCAGCTCTACATCTCTCTTTCAGCCTGATCTAAAGTCAGGATAACTGTGGATCTCAGTAGGTATCTCAGTCGTACATTGTGCAAAATATTTATTCAAATTACAGAAGGCAATTCAAATTGGGAAATTCATGCATCTCCCTAAAAGCTAACAGCTGAGTTCAATAGAGCTAGCTTAGACTATTAGATACCTGCCTATATGTGTGATCTCCCAACCAGTGTCGGACAACAGATAAGACCATTTCGTAGAAATAAGCTGCCAAAGGTGTTTTCCTGAACACCTTGACGCACCCAGATGTTGCCCTTTCTGTCTTCCTGACTTCAGCAGAGAGTATTTCTGGTGGCTTGTGCAATGAGACAAACTTGCCATGCCAGGGTACTGCAGCCCAAAGGGACACCCCGACAGCTATTTCGGTACCCCCCTGAAGGCTGTCACACTGATGGAAAGAAATCTCTGCTCAGAAGATTGACAAATGGACCATGGAGATGATAAGGAGGAATATTCYTCCAAATAAAGATACATTTTTAAAATTTAATGTAGCCTGCTTAGGTTCAGGTGAGAAATCCTGTTGTTTTGTGTGGAAGTTGGCACAAGTGGTGTTCCCCCTGTGCTGGCAGCAAACATCCTGAGAAGAGGGTGTTAAGTGAGATGCCCTAGCAGATGCTCGCTCTCTGCTTTCTCCGATTCTGCAGCAGGACTCAGCACGTGTGTATTGGTGCTGTGAGGGGGAGGCTCTCCCATACCCCCACTTTGAGCCTTTCCACAGCTTGCTGTTTGGTATAATTGGTTGAATCCCAGGGGTTCCTGAGAAATGTGCTTATTCAGGGAGCTGGAAGTCTTTCGCAAAGCTCGCTAATCCCTGCATGTTATATAAATCCTACACCTGTCATAGGCAGTGTGACAGGCAAGGCTTTCTCAGCCCAGCCTCTCATAGTTTATGTAGGAAGTGATGTCCCAGAGCCCCAAACTGCTTTGAGCAGCATTTGGAATGCATGAGTGTTAGGCATGCCAAATATCCTGGGGAAGATTTGTGCTGGAATGTGCAGAATGCTGTATATTAGCTGCTATTAAGCCTCCTTGGCACAGAAATGTTTTGCTCAACTTGTTTATTTGCATGGAGTCAGTGAAAAGTGTCTTGAAGTGCTGATCTTTACCATATCAGTAGGCTTCAGAGTTAAAAATCCAGAGAGGAAGATAATTTCTTCATGTTCACACAGTTGTAACACTTTCTGGAGTTTCAGGTTGCCAGTTTTTCTCCAAAGCCTGTGATAAAAGATTTTTTCAACTGTCTGATAAAATTGAGCTATTTTTATTATTGCTTTACATGAAAACTTAAATTTAGGGGTACAACAGAAGCACAGATACAAAACATTAACATATTGTTTTATCTGATGTCATTCTGTTCATGATAAGCAAGGCCGGAGGATAAGAAAGAGTAAAAGAACAATGAAACATGCTGGTACAAGTGAAACTGAAGTAGCAAATATGACCCAAATTTAGTTTGTATTTTGTCTCTGCTAGGTGGAAAATTTAGGGAGTAGATGGGTCTATTGCACCTCATCAGTTATTCCCCTTTCTGTTAGCCACAGATGTATGCTAACAGTCTACAATTAGGATCCTGTTTTCAGTGTAAAAGAAGTTTTATTGGTTCTTCAGAATCTTGGAGTTATGCTATGGAATGCCTGTCAAGCTGATTCCCTTGTGAGTTATTAGGGATACTTTTAAAGTATAAAATTACATCTTTGCTAAGATGACAGTTATACTGTTATAGAGTATGTAGATAAGTATAGGCTAATTAATTCTCTCTTTCAGAGGATCTGGGCTGTCTGGATGGAAGCCATGCTTGGGGTTCAACCTGAGACTCTTTGAATTTATCCTCAGTGCTAAATTTATCCATTCCATTTTCTATTTCATGTTAACAGCTCTAATGTACTTCTCTAAAATACCTTTTTTCAACAGAAGTCTGAATGCAAACACAAAGAGAGGATTTTACAGTGACTGATGTTTGCCAATCTTTAAATGGATTTTTAATTGTCCATTTTAGTTCTCTAACGCAGAAGATAAGTAGTCAGCTCTTTACCTGCAACTTCATTTCACCTGGGAAGAGCTGGAAACTTTGCTGAGTAGTAGAGTACCAGAGAACATTAATCACTGAGAAAAAGAAAAGGCTTTTTTTCTGTAACTGTTTTGCCTTTGGAACAATCCTCTTCTAAAGCTTGAACTGTGAGACCTGTTCCCTCAAAAAAGAGTCATAATTTGGAAAGCAAACCTGGCTCAGATGAAGAGCTCAGGGACACCATCTTCACAAGCACACCACAGACTCACTGCAGAACAAACATCCAAAATGTTATTAATGCACTGCTGCAAAGCAATTCCAGAGCATCTTAGGACTCGTTGGCATGGGTAATTTGTCAGCTAAGTAGTTCTTCCTCCTAAAGGTTTTTTATTATTTTCTGCTTTATTTTTTTAGTAGCTGACAAGAAGTTTATTTTACAAGTCCTTTACCCTGATCACRCACTTCTCTGTGACAGTTCATTATCTATATACTCAGATGGTGTTTTGTGAGCCAAGCAGTGTTTTCATTTTGCCACTGTGGTAACTAGACTGAGTCACCTTYCCAGCAATACAGAAGCTTCTTAGTSCCAGTGTAGCATACTGGTAGCCCTCYCACAATACAAGGTACCTTGAAGATACTTTTCAGTCAAATATACCACCACGGAGAGTCCTGTTTGCTTAAAAAACCTTGAAATGCCTTTGAGAAATAGAAATGTGTATGTTTTTGTTGTTCCATGGTCCATCAGCTGCTGTGAGGTTGCCACATCTGCCTTCTGCTTGGTGGGAGAAGCCTTTGCTTCCATGAACCCAGAAAAAAAAAAGATTAAGAAACAACAGAAAGATCAGATTGAAATTCCCTGGTAAAATCTGAAGCTGTGAAGAGCATTGACTCCTTGAGCAGAGTGCTAGGAGATGCTGGGGCAGTTCTAATGACTCACACCCTATAAAAACTATGGTGCATCCAAGTTTCTGGTTGGAGACCATTGTGGGTTTTGATCAAACTATTCAGGATTGTTCTTCCCCAAGTCATCCTTAAATGAAAGCATGATATGGTTGCGAGTGACTTTTCTGTGTAGCTATCCTCTCAAAGTTTGCAGAGATTTTGTTTTAATGATGTCTTATGTAAGGTGAGAGGTGATAATTTTCTATTTCTCATTCATCTTTAGTGATATTTCTTTTATTTTTATTATTTCAGATCTCTGAGAAATATGGGCTACCAGTTGAAAAGATTGCAAAACTTTATAAGAAAAGCAAAAAGGGGTAAGTTGTTAACTAACTAAGGGCCTGTTTCAGGATTCTTTAGAAGTACTCAGATCCCAGTTATACTTGGGTCCTCATGRAGGTGGACAGCATAAACTGTTTCAGGAGACATACCCATGTGCTTCAAATCTTCGTGTCTGTGGAGACTATAAGGGTTGGCAGAGGAGGAAACACGGATCTCCAATCTGTGTCTGATCAGTATTCACAGGCTTACTGTGAAGAAGGAGTTTGTGGATAAGATATGTGCATAAAGTCTGTTTTGTAGACATTATGCTAAATAACATTGTGGAGGGCCAGCATGGGATATGTTGCCTTTGCTGTGAATGCAGTTGGAGTTTCCCTGCAGTATTAGGAAGAAGTAGGCCACTATCCTACTCTGAAACACAGGCAGGCAATGTTTGCTGCAGGAGGTTCAGCTGAGTAAATTTAGACATGAACATCACAGCTGGACTTTTAGAATAGCTGGGCTACTGCTCCTTGCCATAAATCTAAATCTCTCCACTTCAACTTTTTTTTTTTAGTTTTATTTAACCACAATATTGTAGCGATATAATTTTCAACCAGACATTTATTTTCAGCTGTAACTCTAGCTTAGGGCATTGTTGTGTCTGGGGATTTCTTTAGCTTTAGAGAAGATGGGTGAAACTTCTTATGTTTTGCTTCAGTCTAAGTGACAGAACTTTACTTTGAGGTAAAGAGTGAGGAAAACACTCATATACACTTCTAATAGTCATTGTCAATAGTCTCACATCCAAGCTGAGTTCTAGGTTTTGTGTTGTAGAGAAGTSAGCAGACATGACAGAGTGCACAGTTCCCTTTCAGCATCTTGGTACATAAAAACATTGATTTCTGCCTTTGTCACCAGCATCCTGGTAAACATGGATGACAACATTATTGAGCACTACTCCAATGAGGACACGTTCATCCTGCACATGGAGAGCATGGTTGAAGGCTTCAAGATCACACTGACAGAGATCTAGCCTCAGGCAGAGCCTTTTTGTAAGGAACCACAGCATTTCATCCTTCTTGGAAAGCAGAAGATTCCCCGTGAACTTGACAGACATTGATCAGAGAAACTGTTACAAGACTGCATTGAAAATTCTGTCCATTCTGCACATGTGTACCCACTGCATATAGACTTGGGTTTGTCTCTGCACATGTGTACCCACTGCATATAGACTTGGGTTTGTCAAGCACAAGGCCACTCACATTAACCTGGTCCCTTATTTATTGTTCCCCACTCTCCAATGTACAAGCAGTTACCAGCCCCCCGATTTGTAACCARATGACCCACTGCAAATGTGAAATGCAGCATTTTAATCCATACTTCAGTGTGGATAAGCTCATTCTAAAACATATTAAGTAACTSTGCTGGTCTAGTTTCAGAAATCTGGTATAAATCACTTCACCAGTAGTTGTCTCCATCATTGCTAAAAATCTGTTGCAGTGCTAAAGATGGGGAAAGTGGCTGACAGTTCCCTTGCTCAGACTGATCCATATCTCTCTATACTGTATAGTCTTGCCAAATACCTCTGGTAGTTCTCAGCATGTAGCAATGAGGACTTGTAAGTAAAGCATTCAGCTACAAATGTCACTTGTAAGTAAATGGTAAAGAAACCATTTTAACTTTGTATATAATGTTTATAATATGCAATAATATATTTTAACTACTGTATGTGGGCATGTTTACTGCCACTATGTTTTTGTATGTATTTGGTTTAGAGCTTAATAGAATCTTACCTAGAGGATTAAATTGCTGCAATCTGTTAAGAAGTGTGTACTGAGAAGCTGATAACGGAATCATATGCTCCATCCTTGCTCACAGTTATATACTGAAATATTAGAGCAGACTCTGCTACTGGGTCTTGGATGTTCTGGCACAGTGGGGCCCACCTTAGGTGCCCAAGTCCAGCCGTAGGTACCTGAGTCTCCCACTCAGCTGTAACAAAATCCGAGAGACACCATGTGTCTGCTGCCTGGTTTGCCTAGAGGTACGGAAGGGATTTCTTCCTGGTCTTCTTCCTTTGATGAAGTGGAGGCTTCTAAAGTGGCCTTTYCCCAAGCCTGTGGGGAGAAAGGTTCTTTCCAAAGCAGCCTACACAAAGCATTCCTCTAGACTGTAAGAAACAATCTTTTCCTCCTAAGTATACTTGCTCTTGTTTCTCCATTGAATGATTCTATTGTGATTCCTAAGACACTTGGGTGATTTACAAACCTGGGCTTGATGTAAATATTTTATCAAAACTGGAATAATTTTTCCAATGGAGATTGAGTATTCCACGACTTAGGCGTGGAGATAGGTCTCTATCTCAAGGGCTGCATCTGAACCCAAGTTGAACTACATGGTTATTCCTTCAAATTCCACCTGTCTTATGAATTCTGTGAAGAGACAAAGTTGTGAAGGCTAAAATCATACCAGGAAGGRGGTTTAAGGCCTGAATGTCCCTATGACACCTAAACTCAGCACCTGTCTCTCTCCCCTCCAGCTCCTCCGGCCATTGTAAAGAGCTCCTCACTCAGCAAACAATTCCATGAGTTTCAGCTGCATTTTATTCTCTATGCACTGGCATATAAGAGGCTCCTTTAGTCACACAGTCTTCATGATTAGGTGGCTAATGGCAAAAAGAAACAGTTTAGGGCCTAGTTTAACAGGGCTCCCTGTAGTGTTTTGTGCTGTGTGGAGCTATTTACATTCAAGCAAAGTAGCTGGGCTAACTGACCAGTCTGATTTGGCCATGTCTGCATGAATTGTCCTGCAAGCTCTTGCACACTTTCTTAACTTCATTAGCAGTAACATCCTATTAAAATCTCTACTTCTAACAGAAATGTTAGGTACATGTTAAGGTTTCTATGGGACCAGAAACTATAAATGTTCAGGCTGGTAGCATCAGGGCTAACATACACAGAGTCCACATATGCCTGTAAAGTGAAGTGTGTATTCTGTCCTTCTCCTGCACTTTTTGTTTGTCATGCACTCTTTCCTCTGCTCTGATGCAGAGTTCTGTAGTAATTTCCTTAACTTTATATAAAAATGCACTCCAGGAAAGATACCCTTGCTACCCTGCTCAAAAGCAGACATTCTGGGAATACAAGAGATTTGTGATGATTTTTAGTTTGTTTCTACTTGGCTCAGACTGAGATAAAACGTTATGACTTATTCCAGATACTTTTTCCTAAAGGAAAAAGGAGGACAGTTTGGACAGGTAGCATTAGGAACTGGGACCAGCACACAGGATGGTGAGCAATACTGTTAGTTCTTGTATTTCCCTGTTGRTATTTGGAATCCTCAGAATAACAGCTGGGGTCTTGCAGTCGGTCAAGATGTCTGGGCAGAAGCTGCAGGTGAAACATAGGAGTAAATGTATACAGGAGTTGAGCCCTGGTTCTGTCCCCAGCAAAGCTGCTGTCCAAGGGAATGCCTGTGGTGCCTGGGACTGGCCTGGGYTGGAATGKGCTGTTATAAGAAAGRACAGTGAGAATTTAGGGATCACAGRGAAGGACGGACTGTCCTGGCAGCACCAGCACTCAGGRTAAGGGAACATTTTTGTCTTACACTTGATGGGACATGAGTTGGCATCTGTTGGGTGCTGCAGCATCCTGTGATGAGGAGCAGTGTAGGATCAGTGAGAAAAGCAATGCTCAGGAATACTGGGGCTTAAGGAGCTCTCTTTCCATTGTCATTTTAAGAGCTTGCAGTCAGTTGTTGTCCAGAGAAGGAAGATTGCTTCCAAGATTAACTGAAAGCTATTCTAAATACATCTTAAAGTGTGTGAATTCCTGATAGTAGAAAGCTCATACTCCTGCCTTCAGTTCCTTCTTACAGTCTGAATGAAATTATCAGGAAGACAACTAGATTGGTGGTAAGATTATTTTAAAACAACTAGAGCTGGGTAGGATGGTTGCCCTTAATTTATCTGCCAGGGTCTGAGGGCTTTGTTTCTCTGCTCCAGATGCAGGTGCATCACAAGCACTGTGACATTAGAAAGTGTATCCACACTGCAAGCTTTCAGTTTTAGTTATAGCATCAGCTGCTGGAGGAGCACTGGGCCTTGGATGCTGGTTGTGGCAAGATACAAGCTCTCAGGGTTCACCTTGTTGGTCAGAATCAGCCCATCAGAGTGGTGGGAAAGGGACACTGAGTAATGCAAACTGCTCAAGCAGTGGCTGCCTTGTGCCCTGCTTGACTCAAATGCCCTGAGGAGYACAGAGTGCTTTCATGTATATTGTTTAAAATATAAATGTTGCTTTGATAAAATATATTGATTGATGCTGGATCTTCCAAATATTGTGAGTTAAATGGAAGTAGATTTGACTACTGTTCAGCAGGGCACAGGAATACCTGCCTTGCCTCCTTTTATCTCTTTGTGGCACTGCTGTGGCTGTTTATTTTAAAGGAACAAAATTCTCATTTCCTTTTCTTCTTCAAGACAGCAGTCTTGAATCTTAACTAGTRCAGCCTGAAGTGTGGCTTGCTGCTGAGTGCGCTTTCCCTGTGGAGAGTTATAGCAGTGCAGTGTCTGTAGATGTTGTGTTTTAAAATACTCTGATAAAGATATACGAAAGGAGAACAGTCTTCTAAGTTTGGTTCCTGCAGCAGATTTGGCACGTTGTCCGTCCAGTTGATGTTTTATTATGAAACCCCATTAAAATCCTCAAATTTTAGTTCTTTCTTACAGTCAGGTGTTGATATCCCTAAAATAAAGTGTATCCTCTGAGTGAAGCTATGTGGATGAACGGTGATATCCCCATGAAGACATTTTGGAGGATTTCTGCCACTGAGTGTAAACTACAAAAAAAATGTTTTCTTCATGTGTGTCCTCTCYCACAAAGTTTTTGGTCAATGGAATTCAGAGGTCGAATGTCTTCCTTATATATTTTTCTCTTTCATTCTCTCARTTGTTTAAATGTAAATTAATTCAAACAATTAGTGAAATCTAAACTCTCTACCTGTTGGAGATGCTGTATATTGATTGAAATGGAACTGGAAAGGAGTATCTCATGACTTATAAAATGTAAAGCTTATTAAATGTTTATATGCTCTTCCATTTCCTATTAACTGAGACAAGATACAAACAAGAATGTTTGTGCCAAAGATCGTGACAAGCCGTCTTTCTGGCAAACAAGGAAACTTTATGTATAAATAGTGTGCTTTTATATTAAGAATATAGCTCATGTAACTTAATAGTATTGCAACTGGGAGAGGGGTTTGGTAAGCTGTAAATACAGTTATTTTATTTTTTGTACATTTTTAAGAAGGAAAAAAATAAATATTCCTATGTATGAGATACTATTTCTGTTTCTGCGGTGTGTATTACTACATGTGTCCAGGAGAGATAGTATCAGTATGTACAAATACCTGAAAGAAGGGTGCAGAGAGGATGAAATCAGACTCATCTGAATGGTGCCCAGTGACAGGGCCAGAGGCAATGGATGCACACTAAARCACAGGAGGCTCCCTCTGAAATCAGGGAACACCTTTTGCTGTGAGTGTGACTAAGCACTGGAGTAGGTTGCCCAGAGAGGTTGTAGAGTCTCTATCCCTGCAGATATTTAAAAGCTGCCTTGACATGGTCCTGGACAACTAACTCTCACTTGCTCTACTTGAGYAGGGAGGTTGGACCAGATGAATGACAGAAATCTCTTCCATCCCCAACTGTTCTGTGATTCTGTGACTTGTTGGAGTGTCCTGGGAACCTGGCTGGAAGCMCTGGCACTAACATCTCTGTGACTCCTGGGTACCTGGGCAGAGATGAAAAGCACTGAAGCATACCTGGCCACACATCTTGCAATAAAACATTTTCATCAAACATTTTACTCTCCACCAGTTGAGTTTGRCTTTTTAACAAGAATTCAGGTGGTGAGAACATCTAAGTAGGTGGGAAATTGCTTGGGTAACCATTTGCCTCAGCAAAGGGAGATTCCCCAAGCAGTAGCAGGAYAGCCCTGTCTTATAATGGGCTGGAGGAGTTCAGTGCTCTGGATGAGCAGTGCAGGGAGAGAGCTGGGATCAGCTCCCACGGAGCTTTTAGGTAATCACATTTCATGGGCACTGCCTGAGATAGATGTTTAATTATGTTTCATAGGAAGTAGTTTTACTGAGTGGCTCTTAAAATTCAAATACTTTAAAGCKGTGTGGCTGGCAGTGCTCCATCTGCGAGGCTGTGGAGGGGTGAGGAGAAGTGYATGGCTGATGGGAACCACTGCACCCTCTGCATGCTCAAGGGTTGGAATGTGTCTGGCATGGCTGAGCCACKGTTTAGCAAGGTGACTCAGGTCACTTTGATCAAAGGTCTTTCAGAAGAAATGACCCCGTCTGAGGAGTGGGGAGCAAAATACCTTCCTTTAGCTCCTGATTGAAACTTTAGGGGAATCACTGGAGCAGCAAAGTGTGGGTTTTGGCACCTTCCCAATCTTTTGGYTCAGTTTGTGCTGCAGAAAATGATGATAGATTCTGGAGCAGGCTATTTCCCAGATGGGGCCAGACCCATGGCTCACAAGCCCGTGAGCCACAGGATCTCAGGTTCCCTCCTCTCTGAGGCAGTGGGAGGTCCAGTGCAGGATCACGGGAGTGTAACATGCTCCAGTGCCYGGGACAGAAGCCTTGGGCTTTGCACAGCAAGATGCGTGGGACAGCAAAGGTGGTAAGTGGAGGATTTAGGCACCCATGTACAAACAAACACCTCCTTACACCCCTGTCTTTTTATGCTAAATTGTATTATGGCCCTAAGGGCAGGGTGAGGGAAACGTACATCACAGGGAGTCTGGCACACTGGAAGCTCATGTAATAAAGCCAGTTTGAAGCTGCACTGAGCACAGCAGATACCTGRATACTGTACCTGTTGATTCATTCAGGCTCCAGCCTGTCTCAAGATCATATTAATGTGCAGTTCCACAAATAGGCTTTTTTTTTATCCCAAGAGGAAATAGACACTGGTTTCTGTTACCTTCCAGTGGRATTTAAACTACTTTTTGCACTCTATGCTAATCCCAGCTCCAAATTTAACCGAGGCAAAAATTTGAGGAGCTTAAGGAGCATGCACAGGAGCATCAGCTGGTCCACTCCAGAGACTGACKGAGGCTGGAAGGAGTCCCTGCTGTGACAAGCTCTGCTGCTGCCTCATCAGCCACATCTCACAGCGACTAACCACCTGGCCAGGTCACACTCCCTTGCCACATCCTGCTCCCTTGATGGTTTGATAGTCATTACTGGATAAAAATGTCCCCCAAACCTGGAGAGAGATTTATCTATAGCAGGGAAAGTTGCTGTCAGTCAGCTAAGCCGGTCTTTCCAGCTTCAGAGGACCAGGGCTCTCAGCCTTKTGCTGTCCTTCCTTTGCTTTGCTAACCCACTGCACGTTATCCCACTCCTTGCCCAGCTGCTGGCTTTGGCTGCTGGAGGAAAAACTGTGCTAGCAGCAGGGAGCCCAGCCGGCTGCAATGTGCCAGCACAGCGCCCGTGCACAGCTTAAGCCCTGGCTAAACCCTCCAAATTGGCTTTTAGGGCTGCTGACTGTGCCCACAGCGGTGAGAGGGACAGGAGCTGTGAAGGCAGCAGGCAAAGGCTGCTCTGGGGCTTTCTCAGCAGACCATGGGGCTACCTGAGGCTTTAAGACTCCACCATGAAGGCASTAAAGCACACGGCACACCATAGCTAGCTGCAGCAGAATGTTTATTAGTAGGAAAGAACATTTAGGGGATTTCAGTRGGTGAATTGTTTTGAACTGTTGGTATCCACCATACATTGGTTTTCATCAAGATTGTTCAAGGTCACATATTTATATAAGAAAGCAATAATTCATATTTAGGTGCAATCAGTAATTCCAGTATGAAAAAGCACCGTGTCACAAAACAATTTACAATACAAAAGTCTTCAAAATCTAACATTTAAAAACAATATATTTGTTCAACAGTAATAACAATACAGTAAAAAAATTCTTATTTCCCTTCAAACAATACTGCTTATATATTTTGGCACTCAAAAAGAAACTATCACAAATGTGCCTTTTTAGCCACACAATTTTGTGAGTGTCTATATAGCAAGGAAAAACATGCTTTTGAAGTCAGTCATTTTGCCAGGTGCAGTCTAAACTGCTTTCTCCATTAAAAAGGAAAAAAAAAAACAAAAAAAACCTGAAAGAAAAATAACTCCTAAGCTGCAGCATGTCTTGTCTTTTGGCCCACGACACCATCTGGAGAATCATCTCTCARACTCAATCCATCTAGCAAGTCAACCTTGCTGGAAAGGCTGGATCCGAGCCCCACTTCACTCTCCAAACCTGACAAGAAATGTAGACCTAAGCCCCTCAAATGGTCCTGTTTTTAGGGACTGACCCCAAGTTCTTGCTATATTAAGCACCCTAATAAYATTCTGACACCAAAATTTCTGCTCAGGCTCTTCTTTTCCTTAATACCCCCCAACTTCAGTTGATTCATTTTACAGTCACTTGCACAAATGGTCTTGCAATACGAGCCCACCATTTTTGTCCTATCACAGCCTGGAACTTCTGTTGAACTGCTGTTCCAAGGAAAACCAGGTTCCAAGGAGCACATGTGTGGGTGAGCAATGGGGTAAGGGAGCCTGATGCCAGCGGGGTGCCCCGGGTCAGGAGACATTCCTCCCAGGTCTCCTCCTGCCCTGGGGGCTGGGCTGGCACACAGCAAGGGAGGGGGAGGCTTGAATCTGAGAGAGGGAAAGAGAAAACTAGACTTTTCAGGAAGAATAARTTTCCACTCCAAACTGACCCCTATTAAAAGAAGAACGCAGGTGCTACGCGCCAGGTGAAACACCGGTGCCTGCGTGCAGCTATGACAGCCCTCGAAAAGGGCTGATTCTARTGAACATGCAGTCCTTGGTGCTATCTCTAAAAGCTGAACAAGAACAAAAARAGAATTTAAATAGATTTTACATCTTACATCAAAGATGCCACTACAAAAACACAATAGTAGCACACATTAATTAGTACAGTCTTAAAAATGCAAACCAACGCTGGTAAGACTCCCATACATTCTGCATATCATATGTACAGAGGAGAACGGCTTCTCGAGAAGAGAGGACAGTCATAGAGAGATAATCTTCTGTTTTCTCCATATGTTGCATAATACAAATACATTATCAGCATAAGAAAACTTTATTCTAACACTAAGAGTTCAAGAAAGGTCCTAACTGGAAGTTAATAGCTGGGGAAACCGTGCACGTGCTGGGGCCACAAAACACATACACAACCCTCCGCCAAATTCTCCGTCTCCTTCGATGGCCTGATCATCTACTTCCATTTTACCRGGTAGGTTTAGCATGTTGCTCTGCTGGTACAGACTCCCAAAGCATGGGACAGCACAGGGCCACATYCCCAAAAGCTGCCCCTTGTGTGCCTGGAAGTCACCTCTACGTGTCCTTCTCATGGGCTCTGCCTGGCGAAGAACTAGCTGGAGACTCAGGGTACCACCAGATGGGCTTACAACAGAACCAGGGGGGGAAATAACACATCACAATAGCTACAGGCAACAACACACAGGACACTTGCAATTCTAGACAGCCATAAGAAAAATATGCGGACCAAATTAATTTAATTCATAGTTGTCCCTCTCCTTTCTGTACGGTAAAAGTCTTCCTTAGGATATGTGGGTTTGCTTACAAAGCATTCATCTAGAGAGGTATCTGATTTTGCCAAGACACAGGATATGCTGAACTCCATGCTGCTGCAGTGAGTCTGCCCATGGTAAATCATTAWAATTTCCATTTGGTATCTCTACTCTGTGCTGCAATGAGGCAACAGCCTGAGGGAACAGAGAAAGCTCTCCCTGTGGAATAGTCATGGACTTAAACAGGAACTGGACTCCATGATCCATTCAGCTTTTGGCCATGGTTTATCTCAATTTGTTAGTTTCTACAGCATCAAAACACCTGCCCAAATTTAAACAAATTCTTGTGATTTAATCCCAGCCAGCAACTAAGTCCCAAAAGCCACTCGTTCACTCCCTTCTAGTGGGATGGGGAAGAGAATTGGAAAGGTAAAGGTGAGAAAACCCATGGGCTGAGATAAAGACAGTTTAATAGGGAAAGCAAAGCCCCATGCACAAACAAAGCAAAGCAAAGCAAAGCAAGGCATTCATTCACCACTTCCCATGGGCAGGCAAGTGCTCAGCCATCCCCAGAAAAATAGGGCTCCAGCACAGGTCATGGTGTTTTGGGAAGACAAATGGTACTGCTCTGAACATGTCACCCTCTTCCTCCTTCTTCCCCCCACCTCTTTATATGCTGAGCATGACACCATATGGTCTGGGGTTTCCCTGGGGTCAGCTGTTCTGGCTGTGCCCCATTCCATCTCCTTGAGCACCCCAAGCTCCCTTGCTGATGGGGTGGGGTGAGAAGCAGACAAGTCCTTGACACCACACGAGCACTGCTCAGCAGTAATGAAAATCTCCCTCTGTTATCAACACCTTTTCCAGCACAAATCCAAAACTTATTCCCACTCTAGCTACTGTGAGRAAAATTAACTCTATCACAGCCAAAGCCAGCACACAAATGTGTAACTACTTCTGCATCCATCACATCATTCACTCYGCAATATTTAAAAATCAAAAGGTATTAAGTACTCCTGTCAGAAGAGGACAATATTGGTTACTTCATGTTCAAGAGAAAAATGATGCTGAATATACAAATATTAACTACAAGATTACTTGGATGGATTTGAAGTGAGCAAGTGGATGAGACAAACATCTTGAAATGAAGCTCAATCTGTCTCCTTGAAGCAAGTGTGCAGACAAAAACAATCCCTAATGTAATTAAGCTCTTCATTTTTACCAGGCACGGTGAGCCTACCTCACTAGTAATTGCTCAGTGAGCTCTGCTCTTGGAATCATTGGGATTTCTGCGTAGGAGCTGAAGGACCAGCAGGGCTGAATCTAAGAGGATCCAAAATAATGAAATAAACCACAAGCACACCTAAAACATGAATAAGAAAATGAAACACAAAATACTAAAGAAACATGATTTTGTGGAGCATTTGTATGACTAACATGGAGCATGGTGTCTTTAGTAACCTTCCTTAGATCCTTATCAGATTGAAACCCTGGCTGTGTTTTTGCTTTTTCTTGTGGATACTAATTTAAAAAAAACTATTTGGTTGTCCTGGAAATGGGGATAAGATAATGACAGGAAATAAAAAGGTGGTGGTGGCAAGGAACTGCAAGTTCTCCCCAAAGAACCACATTGGACCCATTAATCATCCCTCTGAGTGCAGCCACTGTGCAGCACAGATGAAGTTTAGAATCAAAGARGATTTTCTCAGGTGGGTTTACCAATCACCATCATCCTGTCATCCCATTTGGTGGGGAAACATTGAGCACGGCTGAGAGCCCTGTCCCCAGGGAGAAAAGCAGAGCCACACCCTCAACACTTGTTATTGACAGATAGCAGGAAGAGCTTCCACCTGATATTACTATGCCAAAATTATCTCTTGGTCCACAGCACCCAGGCACTCCTGCTGGTTTGGGGCACTGCACACTGAATGGTGATGCACAGGGAGGTGCTGCTCCAGCCTGGAAGAAATCCTTTCTCTGTGGAATAAACTATGGGAGTGGAGAGTGAGCACCCCTCAGGTTCAGCAGTGCCTCAGCAAACACATATATGACAATGAAAAACATGTTCAGAGCTTCAGTGTGCCCTTAAAATGTTTAATACTGCAATTAATAGTAGGAAATAAATAAATAGTGTTGTACACACAGGTAGGCCGGAGACTGGGAACCAAACCAGAAGCTGTTCCATTTTAGTGCACCAAGTCTGGCTCCTCCACATGTCGAGGGCTGGTGTTTGCTATTTGTTCACACAGAGGCAGGGGGTGACTGCAAAGGCTTGGAGAGCTGGACACCCTGAGCACATGCCCTGGGAAGGTGAGGACATCTTTGGTATAAGATCAGGGCAAGAGGGGAAGATCTAAAACATCTCAGGCGCACAGGAAGTGAATATTATGGAGAGAGTGGGTGGCTGCTGTGTGCCTCAGGATCTTGGAAGCCCTCAGCCTGCCTGATAATCTCAGATGAACATTCTGTAGCAGGACCCTGAGTCCCCAGCCTCACTCCACGGGGATGAAGCAGCCCAGGCGGTAGCAGGGACTGGGCTGGCACAGAGGAGCTGCTCTGTGCTGGCTGCTGCTGAGAGAGTTCCACTGTGCAAATTCAGACCCTGGGCTAAAGGCAGGGATTGCCTTTAACTGTTTGTTACAGTTTTTCACTTTTTTAGTCTTTTCACATTTTTCACCACAACCCAAGCTCGTTTTTTTGTTTGCTTTCCTTATTGTGCAATAGTCAGCATTTAACATGCGATAGTTTATGCCAACTATACATTAAAATAACACAACCTGTGGGAAACAATGAGAAAATCAAACCTGTACATAGCAAGAAGCCCCTTGCATCTGGCCTTTCCAGCTTGTTAAGATATGGACAGTACATACCTTACTGTACTTTATACAGTAAAAAACTTTATACCTTATCCTGTGTAAATCCTCACCCCTGAAACAACTTCTCAGTACAGATAATTTGGAAACAACAGCAGCAAAAGCCAGGATGGAATAAGGGATGCTGTTGAGATACCCATAATAAACAGGGATAGTTTCTGCAAGGGGCAAGGAGACTGACTCTGCATCCAACTGAGGGTTCGACTGCTCTGAAGGCCAGAGGCACCCAATGGCTTCTGCAGTCCTCAGCAGTGGTCCTGGCTTCCACTGTCACTGATTTCCATGTCAATTTACAATTCCTGTTGTCTTTTCGATGTGCTTAAAACACAGATGTTCTTTCCACCTTCCCCAGCCTGCAAAATGGCACCTGGGCTTTGAGAGTCAACGGAGCTTTCCCTGCTTCTTTTCTACTATGACCAGGAATGAAGTCCTACAGACAATGTTTCACTGTCACCTGCACTCAGGGGAAGCCTTATGCTCGTCCTGGGAGCTGTTTGTTCAGTGCCTGCTGGGGTACAGTGAACAGCTCCTTGTAAGTAAGGAAGAGCAGAGTTACTCTACTTCTACAGCTGCAGCTTCAGGATGGATGCATTTCAGAATGTGTTTTGTCAGTGCCTCTGACAGAATATGCAGCAGGCAGAGCTGCTCAGATAGAAGGTGCCATTTCTACTCAAGCCGTATCTCAGAAAACATCACACCACGTGTCTGACATATCACTGCTGTTTATCTTATCTGCCTACTGCACCATCAGTGGAAAACKCTGCATGCAGCTCTGAGCACTGCTCAGCTGTCTGGCACTGCCAAGTTTCTCTGCATTTCCAAGCACAAGTTCTGCCCACGACAGCAAGAAAACCTCTTTCCCCCACTTTGAGACTCCCACATGAGATCCTGCTTAATAAGACACAGAGCAAAGAATGCATCCATATGCTCCTGCAAAAGGCAGGCGAAATATTCTTCTCCACCAGTCTTGTACCAGGTACCCAACACCAAACTGCTGAGCYTAAGGACTGCCATGCCAGAAAACCAAGGAAGCACCATGAGAAAGATGAAAGGAGGTGCTGGTGAACGGGGTGTTCAGGAAGACTTGACCAGCCCCTTCCCTACCATTGTTTCACTTGGCACGTGTACACTAAACTGCAAAAGGAATCTTTTGAAGGATGCCTCCTCAATCCTGRCCTGCTATATTGCTATTGTGTTGCATCTTCACCCCCAGTGCTAAAAAAAGAGAGTTTTAAAAAAGGGCCAGCTCAGCTCAGAGCATTTGTTCAGAGGCAGGAGATTCCCTTCTCACTGCCACATGTCCCCAAACACCTGCCAGTTGTCACCGTGTTCTCTGGTTCACATGTACTGAGATGTATGGYCAAGGCCATCCTCTCATCTCAGCTTAGTCTGCAGATTAGGGCTCAATGTGAAGTTACCACAGTTCACCAAGTTTCTGTAAGTCAGCTGAGACAARGTTCTGCCCACAGCAAATGCAAGGTAATGAGACTTAACCTGGTCTGCAGTGAAAGAAAATTAAACTAAGCCGCATTATTGCACTTTTGCCATCAGTGAAGAGAGCTGAGAAGTCCTGGGGCTCATCCCCCAGGGCCAGTGTTCAAACCATGGAGAATTGTTCATCTGTGACTACTTCCTGGGCTGGTGTGCAATATTTCTGCCCACAGACCTCATCCAAATACAGAATTTGCACGCTTCTGGCTTACTGTTCTAAGCAGCAGAAAATGTGGAGGTTATGCCTTATAACACAGAACAACAAAGGACAAAATGCCCCAGCAATAAGATAAAAATTCTACAAGCTCCTAAGAACAGCAAAGGAACATCATAGCTCTGGGTGCCTAAGGAGCATCACTGCTGTGAACTGACAGTCCACAAATAATGTTGAAGCATAAATATTTCTTGTCCCTCTCAAACTTTAAGTGCTCACAAAGACACATGTGCTGGTTTTACAAGGATTGTGTTTCCCTTTCCCTTCCCAAAGCACCCTAAAACAAAGAGAGGCTACAAAACTCCCAGTCATAGTCCTCACTTCACATCTTCTGGCCCAGGGTTTGACAAGCTGGCTGGAAACATCAGGTAAATGGGACTGGCATTTTCCATGAGTTCAGTCTCCACGTGGATGCACTCATTAATTCCTTTGGACAACGTATGCATAAAGGCTGCGTCCTGCACATGCAACTAAAACTAGAGAATGCATCCACAAAAGCACAATGTGCCATCTACCATCCTTCCTGCACAGAGATACTGCTAACAAATCACTCAAAAGCGTCTGACTTGCTGTGCTGTTTTATACAGGATGCACCACTTTGCCTCCAAAAGCTTTGTGAAGGCAGCTACAATTGCAAATGCAAATGACAGCAAAGCGGAAAATTTCAATCTGAGGCACAGCACCCCACTGCTGTCCTGCTGCTCGGAGGTCTGCAGATGTTCCTGTCACAACTCCAGCTATGAATCACTCTTTAAGTACATGCAGAGGCAGAGAAAGAAAGGAATAGTTAATAATTTAAAATAATACCAATCATCAGTGGCAGTCAGGTAAAAGAATAACCTTAGTTCACTCTGTAAATGTTTATACAATACCCTTATCTGCAGCTATGTCCTCTGCAGCTGTAAGCTAATTCTTATTATTCCAAATTTTGTGAACTGTGGGAAGCATTACATCTCTGCTGCCCTGGGGTCAAAACACAGGCTGTGATTTCAAATGTGTGTTGTGTGGGAGTAACACGGGAGACAAGCCTGGCCCCAACGCCCCAGAGCTACTCAGCAAAAACAAAGAGATCAGGTTCTGAGCCAGAAGTATCTTGTAAAATGAAAAAGAGGTGATATGAAAATAAAAGGCAATGTTTTAAAAGCTTTGGTCACATGCAACTGCTTTCACAGCATTAAGAAGAYGGAACTGTTGAAGGTGTCTGAGTTCACCTTCAGTCAATGCCACAGGTCTGGGTGCTTTGGACACGGGTGCCTGCCCTGAGCCGGGAGTTTGGAAGTTCAGCAGGGATCCTCTGGTGTCACCTCGTCCTGCCTRCACAGGGGTGGTGATGGAGCACCCCTGGAACAGCTGGGTGGTGACACGGGTCACTCCCATCTGGCAGAGGGGGTGTTGGTCAGTGATGGGGGGTGATGCCCACTGACCTTCCTGCAGCAATCCCCAGTGGTCTGGCCAGGCTTCTCCTGATGAAAAGCAACCCTAAAGCACTCAAGACAGARCATGACTTTCAAAATCCATGAGGGGATGAGAGGGAGAGGGCCAGAACCTCTCCAGGTAAAGCAGACAATTACCTTGAAGAAGGTAGGCATAGACTCTCCTTTGAATAACTGGATCTGTGCACATGGTGTCTAATGGAGACTTGGGAGAAGGAGATAGGGAACATTTTCATCAGCCAAAAGAATTGGTGTAAAACTTGCCAGTGCTGCTCATAACACCTGAGAGCGCTGGGTATTGAAACCTGTTTGTGTCTGTGGTTGGGACTCCTTCACTTTCTTTTTTTCCCACACTCAGTATTTCTTGGCTCAGTATTTTGATGAATGTAATGGAAATATATAATCAATTAGATTTTTGGGATTGAGACAAATGTGTGTGCTTGAAGACATTTATTGAGTGCCATTAGCCACTCATAATAATTTTAGTACAACTGATTTAACAATGGTATTTTCAATTTAYTTTTATTTTCTCTTAACATGCTTTGCATTCCACACCTAGCAAAGCAAATGGTATTGAAAAAATAGGTATAGGATTGTTTCTGTCAGTTATTGTACAAGCTAGCTAGTGTTCCACAGAAAATTATTTATACTCAACTACTTATTCATGACTTCTAATTAGTACYTAGCTAATCATCATCTGCAAAGCAGACTTATTTTACTTGGGTTATTTTAAATTAAGGCTACTGGGGATTAACATCTACAAGGTCACTTGACAAAATGCCAACTTTGCCTGTCAGACAAAGGTTACTCTAACGAGCTCATGAATTCCCAACACCATGCGATGCTTGCATGGGTTCCTCTCCAACAGGATCACAAAGCAGACTGCAGCTAATGACTCATTAATGCCAATTTAGTCAGCATAATGCCTCCTGTCCCTAAAGCTTTTCCAGCTTTTCTGTTGCAACAGCACTTGTAAAGTCCCTAAGAAATCCCACATGTGTGTACTAGCTTTGCATACAGCAACTTTGATCAAAGGATAAAATTTTGCAGCAGCAAATTTCAGAACTCCTGCATCTAGGCGAAAAGATAAACATTCAACATTTCTCTCAAGAGCTGATCTTTTTTTGTTTTAATTTTTATATATATAAATATATCATAAAGCGTACCATTTCCTCATTTCAGTACAGACTTTTTGAACTTTACTAAAATAAATGAAATATAAATGCTACAATTTTATGTTTAAAACAAGTTTTGACGACAGCCTTCTCCTAAGAGCAGGCCAGAAACTCTGTTAGCTACACAGAGAGAGACAAAAACACCCCCAAAACTTCCTGCCATGCAAGAGCATTCAGAACAGCAGATGTGCCTCAGCTGGAGCTGCTTGCAGGTGTCCGTGAGGAATGCCCACTCTCCTTTGTAGCAACTGCTTTATTACTAACCTGAAAAATTTCACATTCAACATGTATCTCCCTTAAATTCATTGTCATGACCCAGCTTTTCATATCTGTGTCTGCCTTTGCTGATCCCAAATGGCAAGAGGTATTGTCAGTTGTGGATTTGGAGATCAGGATTGCAAATTGCTGAATTTTCAGATAAAGCCATGTGACTTCAACCACTGTAAACCGAGTGAAAAAATGCTAACCTTCATTTTGTCCCTTCTCCTTCACAACCTGGAAAGTGTTCACAGCATTGAAACAATGAGGCAAGGAGTGGATGACACACCCCACACATGTTTTGCACTTTCACACTTCTTCCCAGTCCTGTCTTTGACCTCAACTGGTGCCYCCTGGACAGGAGAGGAGGTTCCAGGTGAATCCTACCCCACTCATCACAACCCCTTTGGTTCAGCCTTACTACACTTTCAGGTCCTGCAGGTGAACACATAACAACTAAAGCAGCAATCTAAAATCTGTCAGTGTGTGTTTGCTGCCAAGGGGTTTGTTGTTGGTTTACTCCTCTTCAACACATACTTTCCGAAACAAATACATTAAAACAAACAAACAAACAAACAAAACAAAATGAAATTTTAAAAACAATGATAACACCACAATATCTGTTTAAAACAGTACTGCCCGTGCTCTGGACAAATTGTTAAAACAATTCAGCATTCTTATAATTAATCCACAACAAAAGAAGCTATAAGATGCCACAAATGAAGGCATAATTGGCCATACAGAGGCAACACTACCATGAATGTTGTTTGGCAAGAAAAAAAAAAAAAAAAGCAGATACATAATTCATCCGAAGGACAGGTTCAGAACTGCCCGGCACTGCTGGGATCACACTGCAGGAGACGGACTATGGAGGGATCACTCTTGGCGCCTCGGATGAACTCTTCCAGAGAGAGCTTTCCTAGAAAAGAAACACATTGACTTAGCACATGGGTGGGCTGCAGCACACCTGTCAAGCCTCTGGATGAGACTGATGGAAGGAAGCCAGGGAACCCATGGAAAATCCCCAGGAAAGCAACTTTGAAAGGTGAAGTCCTGCCTGCCTGCACCCTGTTGGCCCTGTGGATTGTCCCACGTGTGCAGGACACCCCAGCCACCCATCCAGAGGGTGCCTACCATCACGGTTGGTGTCCATCTGCCGGAAGATCTTCTCAGTTCTCTTCTCTGGTGTTGACTCATCTTCTGGCATCTTCATTACAGAAGAAACCATCTTATAGATTGCCTGGTGACAGACAGGAGCAAAGAGCTGGTAAGAAACACATTGTCTTAATGCAAGGGTATGATGATCTTGGGACAGAAAATATCCTGGGAACACCAGCAGGACCTGCTCTCTGGATGCTGAAGGGTGTTGGGTGGTGCTTCTGTGTTTCTTTAGTTAGTCATGGTCCAACACCATCTGGGTTTTGACCAAGATTACTTTTTTCCTTATTACAACAGACTTTGGATGAATTTATCATTTGTACAACACATTAGGCAATGGCAGCTCCCAGAGCCTGGAGGAACAGCCAGGTCTTGTCCTGTGCTGTGATGAATCCTCACRCTTTGGCCACACAGGCTTCATTCCCACCATATCCTCACCCTGCCTTTGCCTCTCTTTCCCTCCTTGCTCAGCATAATGCCTGTGGGGAGAGCAGTGACTCCCTCCCTGCATTTGCAGCATCTCACAGATAAGAAATACTGGACCATTAAGGAGGTGGCCTTTTCTCTGGAATTGGTTTGTGCAGAGCTCAAAATCCCATTCCCAATTTGCTCTACAGAGACCAGATGCTCAGGTGCCACAGAGGACCCCTACCACCCACAGCTATTCTCTGCCCAGACAAATGCATTAGTCACATTTGGCACTAGCTGCCCCTGRAAGAGAGGTGTATTAATTTTAAAACAAGGATGAGGATCTGTCTCTGCACTGGCCACCCAAACCTCGCCGCAAACACGAGCATGCAGCTCAGCACACACCGGGGTCTGTGTTAGGTATCTCTGCAGTGCCATGGCTGGGAGAGCAGCAGCACCCAGATGGCTGCAGGGGGTGGCCTTGGGGGCTCCT